AAATATTTGATTCGTACCTTTTTAAGAACAGCATGTCAAACACACGTTTGGGGCACGTAAGAGATGCCTTGCAGTGTACGTAAGAAGTATTTTTTTTTCTATTCCTATATAAGCATTTTGATATAGATATAGGCCTATATATTAAAATATAGACATTTATAATGGACTGCCCGTTGGTCAAAGCAAAAGTGCTAAAAACTGCTCAAAAGAAATCTATAATATGTACAAAACGCCTTACTGCCTTTTGGGTGTGCTGGAGATCATAAGAGAGGTACGTGTACCATCATATACTGTCGATATGAATATAGAATTCCTGTATCACTTACTGTGCATTATCAACTTTTCCCTTTTGTTAAATCTTCAACAAATATAATACAAATAAATAAATAAATGTTATAGAAAACAGAACAACATGGTACTGCGGATTGGTTTGGAGCGTAAAAGTAAGATATGCTAAGTGTAAGGTCCCATTTAGAATAGGGGACTAACTAGTCCGAGGGTCAAATATGGCAACCCACCACAAAGCGAGTCGTCTAATCCGCTAGTAGACACTAAATAGATATCCCGTGCGGAAGTATTCAAGGGGTCGGCCATATTTGACCCTCGGACTTGTTAGTCCCCTATTCTGAATAAGGCTTAAGTTTAATGATTTAATGAAATCCTCAATTAAATATTTTTATCGCATCGTTTAAGACAAGAAATCATATACAACAGACTTAATGTTTGGCAGTGAGGAAAATAAATAACATTATGCCAACGTGAGGGGTGGGGTTGTGGTGGTCGCTTAAAAATTTAATGTTGAGTTTTGCGAACATATACTACTAGTATCATTGTAAGATTTCTGTTTGGCATATCTTTTACACAGATTGTGACATAGTTTGCATTTTGATTCTGTATTGTTTATTTGTTGCATTTGTATTTAATGTTCATCATCATAATTTCAAATCTGATTATAATTTATACTTCCTGACATCTTTCCCCTGGTACATTTTATTCAGAGCTGATAATAATTAAATATAAATTTTGTTGTATATATCCATTCATGAGTTTGTATTTAATAGTTTTCATAAGTAAAGGCATAAATGCTTTCACTTTTATTATCAGGCTTCAGCCTTTTGAAATAGATGCACAGTATTGTGCCAAATTCAACCACGAAGTGTCCTTAAGTACAGATATTCCACCCTTCAGTAAGTTAAGTTTCCTATGGTTTTTATTTTACTAATGAATGAAGTTGAATAATATATCATTAAAAACTGTCAACGCAGGTTAACACAGGCATTATTTATATAGTTAAACTGTAATTTGTCAATAAAGTACCAAAAAATGAAAAATAACGTGTTGATCATTTCCCATCCTCTTTTGACTTAGAAGTTGTGGTTGGCATGTTAGACAAGCAAACCTTTTCAATATCCAAACCACAATTCATTAATGACAACCGAATTAAAGCCGAGGCTTTAAAGTCCTTGACATCTAAATACCACTGTGAAATATAAGTAAGGAATTTTATAACCAAAGCCATAAAATGTTTGACTACTTTTTAAAAGTATGAACAAACGTAAATTTCAAATTTCAATACACTTGGAGCAAATACAAATGTTCTTCGCAACATTTATTCGAAGTATTATTTTATATGAGGGCGAGTCAATATATAACCAGCCTAACAAATTTCCCATCAACCGAGACATCCACGATTTTCACGCATTGTTTCAATACATGTATTGTACCTGGGTACAAAACTATACATGAATACGGTCATTTGTTTGTCAGATATTGAATGTCAAACATGGCTAGTGATGTAAAAGCAAGCTTTTCATCAAAAATGGAGTACCGTGCTGTAATTCGGTACTTGCATTTGAAATTTGAAAGGTAAAACTGGTAAGGACATACATGCCGAGTTAGTTGACGTGTATGGGTCTTTTGCACCATATCATGCGCAAGTAAAATTCTGGGTTGGGGAGTTTAAACGCGGTAGAACGTCTTTAGAAGATGAATCCAGGTCTGGACGCCCTGTGGACGAAGAAGTCGTGGCCGCAGTTGAGGAGTGGTTCAATGGAAAGGACCCTGACTTCTTCACTTCTGGGCTGATTGCACTTGAACACCGTTGGTCCAAGTGCATTGCCCTGGAGGGAAATTATATTGAAAAAGAAGAAGTAGATCTCAACCCGAAATAGGTTAGGCTGGTTATTTATTGACTCGCCCTCCACCGCTTTGGTCATGTTTCTGCATCTCTTTTAAACACTGATCTCTTTATTCGAAAACAAAAACGCCTGACTATACCGTGCTCTAACAAAAACGCTGCGAGTGAATCTGAAAACTTCCATAAAAAGGATTTAGATACAACATAGCTGTGATAGTCCATAACTCTACATTCACAGTACCATGAACTAGTGTGTATTAAATGTCAATTTTATGAAGAAAAATGAATACTATAGTACCAGCAGTTACGTGTTAGACACGAGTAAACTCGCCAATAAATAATCCAAACTATCGCATTTGCGGTCAGCACATAAAAATATTTCGTACCAGTAGCATAATGGCAAGAAATATGAAGCAAGTGGGCCCAAAAGAAATTACTTTGGACGATTTGGGGTTTATAACACTCCAGATATTTTACATTTGCAAAAATGGAAAAGCATGTTAATTTCTAGTAATATTGTCAGAGCAGACTTTCAGGAGTAACTTGTTTGGTCGGTCAACTGTGCAACAACAAATAAACTTACTATAGTCTATAAGGTGTCTCTCAATATCATTTCAACCCGTTTTCATAATATTACTGTGAATATAATTTATGTTTATAGATTTTGCTAAAAATGTATGACATTGTAAGTATTGAAGATCTCTAACCAAACAACAAGTACGAATTTTTTTAAGTCGTCAGCAAATACAGTAACTCTTTGTCCTTTCGGATCATTTACACCTTCTCACCAATCTTTCAAGTATAGGTACCATATTTAAAGGGCAGTGAAACTGGTCATCTCGGGGCGAAACCAGTGCAAATATTGTACATTTTTGCCAAGAATGGATATTCTGTCAATTTACTTCACAGAGGTTTATAACTCCTTAAGACACATCTTCACACCACCAATTTCCATTAAAATCTGTTGACTCCCACCTTGCTGCTATTTGGTTGGGTTTCAATTATCATAATAATTATATGTACAAAGGATAATGATATTAATGTAGTATAGTTTAACTCAAATGACGCCTTGATAAATGGCATGATATGCTAACCATACACAGTGAGTTGGGTTATATATATATATACTCTCTGTTGAACAAAGTTGAATACACAGTGCGTCCGCGCGTACGCCTGCAAGCGCCCTTGTACTTTGCTACTGTGTATAAGAATCTTGCACATTTATGATGTATCATGGATGGAAGTTAGTATTTGTTTCGGTTATGTGTTTTATGACTTTTAACGGATATCACATGAGCTGGGGTGTGTTTAACGCCACTTTTGCCGAGGATTCTGCCATAGGTGGAAGTCTTGCGACAATAGGTAAGGACAGTATTGAAGTTAATGAACACAAACTAGAGTACATGTAAATTCATCTTACCGTTGTTAGCTTACGGCCAGCTTACCTCATTTGTCGGCCTTTCGTGCTATAGGCGACCATACCTGCTTTAGGTACCCTTACCATGTGGTGAACGGCAATTGTGGTCAGACTGATGTTAGTATATATATTGTCACTCACTGACCGCTAGGTCAACCGCAGAAGCTGATGAACATTTTGCTCAATAAGTTAATGGTCAAAATGTTACACGAAAAACGTTTTTGTCTAAGAGACACTATAGTTTGACTTTAATTGATACATTTATATGCATTTTTAACAGATGAGCAGCGAGTGAGAGTAAGCGTTGAAGTAGGCAGATACCATTAATATTTTTCATCAAATCTTCAATTTTTTTCATGATTCCAGGTCTCATTCAAAACATGCTGTTCACCTCAGCTGCTTTTGGATGTTTGGTCGCTAAACATATTTCTGTAATCTATAACGCCATAACGCACTTGCACGTGCTTAAGTGTCTCGATTCCATGGCCCCGTATCTCGAAATCGAATTGGTTATGGAATCGAGACACTAACGCACGTGCGCAACATAACGAACCTTTCTATACGGAGCCCTGGGCTCCGTAACTCGAAAGCATCGCGAATTTCGACTGGGCGCAAGCGTGTCTATTCCATAACTCGGCATTTACTCACCCCATATAATAGCCTCGAAATGAAATGTGATATCGCTATTCGCAATTCGCGATGCTTTCGAGTTACGGAGCCCAGATTGTTCAGAGCAACACAAAGATATAAAGATTTACAGTTTGATTATTTAGTAACCCATGGAACAGCCACTATTGACATAATAAAAGGAATGAGTGAAAAGAACACAAACTGTTCATAGCACACACACACACACACACACACACACACACAAGTCTAAAGGACTCTTTTGCATGAGATTCTCTTTTGGTTGATTACCCCTGCAGTGCTGGATTAAAAGAACGTGCATTCAGTGTTAATATTACATTACCATAGAAGTCACTTATTTGGACTCAAACACATCCCCAGTCGCTTGAATTTGAAGTTTTCATTGAGTGCACCAAGGGCTACTGGGTCCTAAAACTCAACCCACCTCTTATCATTACTCACTGAATACAATACATGACATGGCTTGAAGCATTATTTATTGAAGAGACAGTTATAACCCATTAGTACAAAGCAATATATTTTGTTTATCTGATAAACAGTAGGCCTAACAGAAAAGGCGGCTGTTCCCTAGCCTAGGACTATAGGAACAGTAATTTGCATCTTGATTTAAAGATTACAATCAGTAATTTTAGTGTATAAAAACCTACGTTCTATTTATTGTTTCCCATCATTTTTCACCAATTTTATGATCTGTTGTAAATCCGAGTAAATACAGTGGAAAATAAGCACATGAACCAAGCACTTGCACTATACAACAAGAATAAATTCTGTTTACATATATATATGACAATACCCTGCCTATCTCTCTCCTTATCGGGCAGTCTGTCGCACAATCCATGACATCTTACAACAAACATTAATTTTCATATTTTAAGCAAAATATTGATTAGTTTGTTAAATGTATAAACCTCATTAGCTTTTACAGCCCGCACAAATAAAGGAATGAGTAGTAAATAAAAAATAATCTCAACAGCCAAAAAGGCATGTGCAGAAGAACGCTGGCTAGGCTTTCAACCGTATAAAGATCTATCCTTTCATATCAAGAGCCTCTAGAATGAATACAAAATTTAAGTAGAGCATCCGATATAATAATTTTGAAACAGACTACAGCACTTGCAGAGCCTGTGGTAAGAGAGTACTAAAGATCATGGAAATTACGTTTATCACGTTTATCATAGAGGGGTAGTGTTAATTTGATTGCATTCAGCAAAAGTCCCCCGTGGATTTGGATCGATCTACGTAGAACGGTAGTTGCATTGGGAATGAGCCCTTAGTCTGGACTCGCCACTGAAATTAACCACACTACACATTCACTGGATGCAACAGTTCGGCGTGCACCTCGCCCTCTGAACGTCGGGTAAGCTGCAGGCTGCTGTTGTAGACGGTGGAGTATTTGCTGAGCTCACAGGTTGAAGTAGACTCCAAATAATTCACTGATAGACAGTTGTAGTCTCGGGAACAGAGGGCGGTGCATTCTATGAGACAATGGATGTTCTGCTCGGATCTGTATGTAAGTGAAGAGTCAGTGCCAATAGCGTAACCACGGTGAACCTTGTACTGTGCTCCGTGTACTGAAAGAGACGCAAACTTTCTTAATTGCAAGATAAATTAATACAGTCCACTTCTGACCTATCCTGAAAATTTCATCGAAATCCATCCGCAAGTTTTTGAGTAAGCTTTGTGACAAACAAAATAGTTATATTAAAAAGAAAAAAAAAAACAAGCAATTAAGCAAACGAACAGACAGACAGACAGACAAACGGAGGTGAAAACATAACCTGGTCACCATCATTCAGTATGTAGTCTAATGTAGATTCTGAACACATTACTTAATTATCACCATTCTACTTACCAGTCTCTCTGCACAGCTCCACGGTCTGTTGGATTTGTTCTGCAGATAAAGCGGCTCCGTACCATTGGACACAATTCATGGCACCGGAGAAATACCTGGGGTCTCCCGTGGAGCTGTGTTTGGCGCCGATGCGGACAGGTGTGTCGGTGATATGATTCAGGTGAGGGGTGTTCTGAAGCTGGCCCGCTTCGACGCCGTCCACCCACATCCTGATCAGCCCGGACTTGGCATCGTACGTGAAACCGGCATAGACCCAGGCAGCGTCAGTGAGTACATATAAGTAATAGGACTCTGGAAGACTGACTATCTCCTTTGTCATAGGGCGAATGTAGAGTTTCCCATATAAGCCAGCCCATATGTGAGTTCCGTAATAATATGTGTCCTCGCTACCACGAAAGTTAAACAGTGGACCCGGATTTGACATGCTTCGTAGGCGCACGTAGGCCAGCCACGTGAAAGAACTGACGTTCAGTGCTCCATTGTTTGGGATTTCGACGAAGGAAGAAACTGTGCCTGCAAATTTAGCCGAGCCTTCACCAGTGCCATAAATGTCTAGAGGAATGACAAGAAATAAGTAAAATTGTTCTCGTCGTCTACTGATTTTTTAAATATATTTTTTATCTTGATGCACACACCCCCTTTAACAAAACAACAAAACTCCACCAGATACTTTTTAATATTATGACGATTTTAAATGTTTTTGTTACCTACTCAACACAACTACTCGGGTTGTACAATAATATTTATTATAAATTAATTAATACTGTGACGATGTTGCCATTGTGTTCGAAGCCAAAAAAAAAAGTTCCCTTGCTATTCTTTCCCTCTGTGGCTCACTTACCTGCGTTGAAATCGACCTCCTGCACTAGGGCGTGGTTACCGTTCCCACTGACGTCCAAGCCCCGGTATCGTTTTGTGAGCGGCCAAAAACCCGCTGGGCGAGGAAGAACCGCTGAAAAAAAGCATAGCAGCTCTTGAGAGATATATATTTCTATTCCGATGAGTTTTTGTAGAAGGGGTCTTAAAAAATGTTGATAGCCTAATTCTGAAATAGTCAGGCACAAATAAAACGCGTAAAAAGGAGAGAAGTATTCAAATAACCATATCAAAGTCACGACCCAACGAAAATTAGCTGTCATCAGGCCCCTAAAATTTTTGTTATTATAGAGGGCCAACGGTGCCATTTGGTACGGTGTAGAACTATGATTCAGCTAGTCAAAACTCCAATTTCAAGAGGGGACCATTGGTGTTATTTTTTTCAGTGATGGAGGGGGGGGGGGCACCCCCCCCCCCCCCCCCGATACCCCCCTAAATCCGCCCCTGTGGGGCGTAGTTTGTTCTGATTCCGAAAGTCACTGCGTTTTGTGGATAAGAACATGCTTCCTTGCTTGACTATTTTCTATAAGGGATCATTTTCAATGAATCTATAGTTCTACCTAGATCGATCTACTTCGCAGGGACTGGAATTTCTCTTTATCACAAAGGTTTATCTTAATAAAAGGAGTTGAGAAAATTGCAATTTACGATTTCATTTTTGTAACTCCTAATCAATGTCTCTTTTTTTCTCTAGTCTCCTTCTTTTACGAAAGTGGATCAGTAATAAGTGTAACTTATTTCATGTTTAATTTTAAAAAAAAATGACAGTAAATTTCAGTGCAACAAAATGAAGGAATAAACAAGCGTACGTGAACTATATACTTACAACGTCCATCGACAATTGCAACATCCGTAACTGCGATCGCCATCAATAAAAGCATTTTGTGCTCTTAGTGGTGTGCAACTGTTTTAGAAAAAGGGCATAAAAAATGTTAAATCCTTTTTTACTGTCGGTTTAAGCAGCGTTCTCCAAGTAAGAATTTTCTGTATATAGATGCCTTCGGGGCGTCGAATAAAAAATTACATCTCACTGTGTTTTCACCTCGTATCCAATAAATAATAGCGATTGATGGGGATCGTATAATGCAGCTCGTCTATGGTTATTGATTAGGATATACATGTACTGTATTGCTTTAGGTCTACAGAATTGTCTATCGTATATGCATTCAATTCTAACATTTTATACATGTTTACTAATTCATAGCTTAATAACAAAATCTGTTACCTTGATATATTGCTCAGATACTATACATTGACAACTCCAGATCCCTCATTGTGTTTTAGCTAGTGTGATAAGTATCAAATAATGCTTTGTGTGTGTGTGTGTGTGTGTGTGTGTGTGTGTGTGTAACGTAGTTCTGATAACTCAAGTGATCCAATTGTAAAATTCGGTCAATAATTAAAATATCCGTATAAGGTTCCAAGAAATTGTACATCTAACTACCCGTGGATATTGATGATATGTATGCGTCACCATTACTTTATTACTACACAGGCAATTCAAAGTTAGCAGCCTGCATCCTTCAGTTTACAAGAGAGACTCTCAGTTTATCATAACTTTTGATATTTCTAGCTCAGGTATTCCTTGATCATGTATAAAGCAGACAGTCTAGTGGCGGTTATACTGTATCACAAAAAAAATCCAATAGATAAAAGAGGCTAAACGAGACACAAACCACCACATTGTGTTAGTTGAGATTAGACCACGGTGTAAGTGAAGAACAAAAGACTCGGACGTGGTGTAACTCGCATAACCGCACGTCTCGCATGAATGCGTTATAACCCGTTCATGGACCGTGGTCTAAATAAGATAGACCCCTCGTCAGCGGGGGTTATGTGACATCCACTCGTGCTACGCACTCGTGTATGCCACATAACCCTCGCCGACTCGGGGTCTATCTATTACTTAGCGAGACAGTGCCCCAGTTTGTTAGTTGAGATTAGCGAGATAGTGCCTCATTGTGTTAGTTGAGATTAACGAGACAGTGCCTAATTGTGTTAGTTGAGATTAGCGAGATAGTACCTCATTGTGTTAGTTGAGATTGGCGAGACAGTGCCTAATTGTGTTAGTTGAGATTAACGAGACAGTGCCTCAAGTATATGTCATCTGCATTGGTGGTATACACGTTGGAATGGCTGCAGCGCCGTATCTTTCAGGTATGAAATTAAACAAAATAAAGAAGCAGTTGTCTTAAAATAATTATTTTCATATCTTGTGTAAAACTGTCAGGATAAGTGAACTTTGGACATTTGTAAATAGAAATTATATCTGATTAAAAGGTCGTTTAGTCATTTTATAATAATCTTGCATATGAAGATAGTAATTTCAAATTACAAAAAATGAACAACAAAGAAACGCTGTTTTCCAGGGCGCATAATTTCTCATTACAACACACACTGTATTTAAGTTGATAATGTTTTGCATCAAAATCCATACCACATCGATGATGCAGGATATCTTACATTATTCCAGGTGCTATATACGACTGGCAGAAGTCCTACTCATTGGTCTTTGTGACATTGGCTATTGAGTATTTTATATGCGGCATAACTATGTCCACTATTGTAGTTATGAATAAATTTTCGACGAAAACAAAATACGCTGAGATAATTCCTATGCAGAAGTAAATGCGAATCAGTAACTGGATACTGTGCTATCATTTTGCTCGTTCGAAATCATATATACAGATGTACTTTCTACAGCGGCAACAGTAAAATATTTTTAAGAACAGCATGTCAAACACACGTTTGGGACACGAAAGTAATGCGTTGCAGTGTACGTAAGAAGTATATTTTTCTACTATTCCAATATAAGCATTGATATAGACATTTATAATGGACTGCCCGTTGGTCAAAGCAAAGGTGCTAAAAACTGCTCAAAAGAAATCTATAATATATACAAAACGCCTTACTACATTTCGGGTGTGCTGGAAATCATAAGAGAGGTACGAGTAGCATCATATACTGTCGATATGAATATAGAATTCCTGTATCACTTACTGTGCATTATCAACTTTTGCCTTTTGTTAAATCTTCAACAAATATAATACAAATAAATAAATGTTATAGAAAACAGAACAACATGGTACTGCGGATTGGTTTGGAGCGTAAAAGTAAGATATGCTAAGTGTAAGGCCCCATTTAGAATAGGGGACTAACTAGTCCGAGGGTCATATATGGCAACCCACCACAAAGCGAGTCGTCTAATCCGCTAGTAGACACTAAATAGATATCCCGTGCGGAAGTATTCAAGGGGTCGGCCATATTTGACCCTCGGACTAGTTAGTCCCCCATTCTGAATAAGGCTTAAGTTTAATGATTTAATGAAATCCTCAATTAAATATTTTTCTCGCATCGTTTAAGACAAGAAATCATATACAACAGACTTAATGTTTGGCAGTGAGGAAAATAAATAACATTATGCCAACGTGAGGGGGTGGGGTTGTGGTGGTCGCTTAAAAATTTAATGTTGAGTTTTGCGAACATAGACTACTAGTATCATTGTAAGATTTCTGTTTGGCATATCTTTTACACAGATTGTGACATAGTTTGCATTTTGATTCTGTATTGTTTATTTGTTGCATTTGTATTTAATGTTCATCATCATAATTTCAAATCTGATTATAATTTATACTTCCTGACATCTTTCCCCTGGTACATTTTATTCAGAGCTGATAATAATTAAATATAAATTTTGTTGTATATATCCATTCATGAGTTTGTATTTAAAAGNGCAGAAGTACATGTAAATGAGAGTCAGTAACTGGATACTGTGCTATCATTTTGCTTGTTCGAAATCATATATACAGATGTACTTTCTACAGCGGCAACAGTAAAATATTTGATTCGTACCTTTTTAAGAACAGCATGTCAAACACACGTTTGGGGCACGTAAGAGATGCCTTGCAGTGTACGTAAGAAGTATATTTTTTTCTATTCCTATATAAGCATTTTGATATAGATATAGGCCTATATATTAAAATATAGACATTTATAATGGACTGCCCGTTGGTCAAAGCAAAAGTGCTAAAAACTGCTCAAAAGAAATCTATAATATGTACAAAACGCCTTACTGCCTTTTGGGTGTGCTGGAGATCATAAGAGAGGTACGTGTACCATCATATACTGTCGATATAAATATAGAATTCCTGTATCACTTACTGTGCATTATCAACTTTTGCCTTTTGTTAAATCTTCAACAAATATAATACAAATAAATAAATAAATGTTATAGAAAACAGAACAACATGGTACTGCGGATTGGTTTGGAGCGTAAAAGTAAGATATGCTAAGTGTAAGGGCCCATTTAGAATAGGGGACTAACTAGTCCGAGGGTCAAATGTGGGAACCCACTACGAATCTCGTCGTCTAATCCGCTAATAGACACAAAATAGATATCCCGTGCATAAGTACTCAATTGGATCGGCAATATTTGACCCTCGGACTAGTTAGTCCCCTATTCTGAATGAGGCTTAAGATTAACGATTTAATGAAATCCTCAATTAAATATATTTGTTCGCATCGTCTTAGATAAGAAATCATATAAAACAGACTTAATGTTTGGCAGTGAGGAAAATAAATAACATTAGACCAACGTGAGGGGTGGGGTTGTGATGGTCGCTTAAAAATTTAATGTTGAGTTTTGCGAACATAGACTACTAGTATCATTGTAAGATTTCTGTTTGGCATATCTTTTACACAGATTGTGACACAGTTTGCATTTTGATTCTGTATTGTTTATTTGTTGCATTTGTATTTAATGTTTATCATCATAATTTCAAATCTGATTATAATTTATACTTCCTGACATCTTTCCCCTGGTACATTTTATTCAGAGCTGATAATAATTAAATATAAATTTTGTTGTATATATCCATTCATGAGTTTGTATTTAATAGTTTTCATAAGTTAAGGCATAAATGTTATCACTTTTATTATCAGGTTTCAGCCTTTTGAAATAAATGCACAGTATTGTGCCAAATTCAACCACGAAATGTCCTTATATACAGATATTCCACCCTTCAGTAAGTTAAGTTTCCCATGGTTTTTATTTTACTAATGAGTGAAGTTGAATGATATATCTTTAAAAACTGTCAACACAGGTAAACACAGGCATTATTTATATAGTTAAACTGTAATTTGTCAATAAAGAACCAAAAAAATGAACAATATCTGAAACGTGTTGATCATTTCCTATCTGCTATTGACTTAGACGTTGTGGTCGGCATGTTAGACAAGCAACCTTTTCAATATCCAAACCACAGTTCATTAATGACAACCGAATTAAAGCCGAGGCTTTAAAGTCCTTGACATCTAAATACCACTGTGAAATATAAGTAAGGAATTTTATAACCAAAGCCATAAAATGTCTGACTTCTTTTTAAAAGTATGAACAAACGTAAATTTCAAATTTCAATACACTTGGAGCAAATACAAATGCTCTTTGCAACATTTATTTGAAGTATTATTTTATACAAGTCCACCGCTTTGGCCATGTTTCTGCATCTCCTTAAACACTGATCTTTTAATTCGAAAAAAACAAAAACGACCGCACTGCCTGACTATACCGTGCTCTAACAAAAACGCTGCGAGTGAATCTGAAAACTTCCATAAAAAGGATTTAGATACAACATAACTGTGATAGTCCATTACTCCACATTCACAGTATCATGAACTAATGTGTACTAAATGTCCAATTTATGAAGAAAAATGAATACTAGTACCAGCAGTTACGTGTTAGACATGTGTAAACTCACTGATAAATAGTCCAAACTATCGCATTTGCGGTCAGCACATAAAAATATTTCGTACCAGTTGCATAATGGCAAGAAATATGAAGTAAGTGGGCCCAAAAGAAATTACTTTGGACTATTTTGGCCTTATAACACTACAGATATTTTACACTTCAACATGTACGAATTTTTTAAGTTGTCTGCAAATATGGTAACTCTTTGTCCTTTCGGAACAATTTACACCTTCAAACCAATCTATCAAGTATAGGTACCATATTTATAGGGCAGTGAAACTGGTCATCTCGGGGCGAAACCAGTGCAAATATTGTACATCCTACATTTTTGCCAAGAATGGATATTCTGTCATTTTACTTCACAGAAGTTTATAACTCCTTAAGACACATCTTCACACCACCAATTTTCATTAAAATCTGTTGACCCCCACCTTGTCGCTATTTTGTTGGCTTTCTCGTGAAATGGCAAGCAATTATCATAATAATTATACGTACAAAGGATAATGATATTAATGGAGTATAGTTTAACTCTAATGACGCCGTTATAAATGGCATGATATGCTAACCATACACAGTGAGTTGGGTTATATTTTCTGTTGAACAAAGTTGAATACACAGTGCGTCCACGCGTACGCCTGCAAGCGCTCTTGTATTTTGCATAGCTACTGCTGTATTAAAATCTCGCACATTTACGATGTATCATGGATGGAAGTTTGTATTTGTTTCGGTCATGTGTTTTATGACTTTTAACGGATATCACATGAGCTGGGGTGTGTTTAACGCCACTTTTGCCGAGGATTCTGCCATAGGTGGAAGTCTTGCGACAATAGGTAAGGACAATATTGAGGTTAATGAACACAAACTAGAGTACATATAAATTCATCTTACCGTTGTTAGCTTACGGCCAGCTTACCTTATTTGTCGGCCTTTCGTGCTATAGGCGCCCATAACTGCTTTAGGTACCCTTACCATGAGGTGAACGGTAATTGTGGTCAGACTGATGTGAGTATATATATATGTATTGTCACTCACTAACCGCTAGGTCAACCGCAGACGCTGATGAACATTTTGCTCAATAGGTTAATGGTCAAAAAGTTACACGAAAAAGGTTTTTGTCTAAGAGACACTATAGTTTGACTTTGATACATTTATATGCATTTTTAACAGATGAGCAGCGAGTGAGAGTAAGCGTTGAAGTAGGCAGATACCATTAATATTTTTCATCAAATCTTCAATCTTTTTCATGATTTCAGGTCTCATTCAAAGCATGCTGTTCACCTCAGCTGCTTTTGGATGTTTGGTCGCTAAACCTAATATTCCTGTAATCTATAACGCCACAACGTCATAACGTTCATGTCCGTATTAGTCCTGGGATAGGGCATGTCATCATAGCGCCGTTTGTGACATTTCCTGTTTTTACACACGGCATCATGGCTGGGTTTTCTATTGCCACCATTCGGCTGACATTCACCTTCAGAATAGCGGGATAGTTCCCCTGGGATCACAGATACCCTCTACCAGGGTGGTAGATTATACAGGGAAAAATTGGAAAAAAGACACCCTGTGACTTTTGGCCACATTGAAGCAATTAAATTTGCCCGCGTGCAGATGGCATTGTACCCGCTCTGTAGGGAGCTACTCAGTTATCTTCAATATGTACTAACAAGTTATTTAGAAAGGGTTATTTAAATCTTTCACAAAAGAGCAAGTGATTTAAATTAGAGCAATTAACTGCCTTGATTGCTGTCAAAGGAACTTAGCCTGTTATGTTAAACGGCAGTGCCTGATCAGTTATGCAAACAATTACCAGCCATGTTATCAACCTAGAGATTTCATTACAGGGTCAGAGATAGTAAAATGAACGTCTTTTTATCTTAAGACATATCTGTGAATATTCTGTGAAAAGTCCATCTGTGGCCCTGGTAGAGGGTAAATCACGGACATCATGTTTTCGCTACAAGTTTTAGTCGCTTTGTTATGGTTGCTGCAAGTAATTCACTTCTTTTGTCGCTTATTCATTGTGCTAACATTTTATCAAATGGCTAATTTTCAATATCACAATATCTTACGGATATCATTTTAAATCAACAAAGTAACGTTTTCTTCAGCTGTGTGTGGGTTAAAACACGTTTTTTCCTGATTGAATCAGCATGTGAAAATTTTTGGTGACAGTATGAGGAGATAATTCCAAATGGGACTTTCAATTATCAATATGATTTTATATACAAAGATAATGTCCCCATTAACCGAGTGGAGTTTAACTGCAAGGTTAATTACGCCCGTATTCTTTAAGGTCACTCACACTCACTCTCTACTCACACTCAACTGAGTTTCACTCAAGTGTGGCTGAAGAGTAACTCAAGTGTGAGTGTGAGTGTGATCTCAATAAAATGAGTGACTACTCACACTCATTGAATGATACATGTGTTCACTTTCACTAAGCTCACTCAACTGTGACTCAGTTAAGTGACACTTGAGTAATAGTTCCTTGTATTGAGTGTGCACATCACTTTAGTCAGTCTGACTGCAGTCACCATGTCCAGATAATACTTCTCTGAGCTAGAGAAGTCTCTACTGACCGAATTAGTGGACAAAAACAAATCCGTTCTGGAATGTAAAAAAATGACTTAAAAATCGATCAAGCAGAAAAACGATTCATGGGAAAGCTTGTCAGAGGAGTTCAACTAGCAAAGTGGGGTGAAGAAATGGGACAGCAAGCAACTAAAAAATGCTGGGAAAATATAAAATCTCGGGCTAAGAAGTCTATTGCAAAGGAAAAGAGGGAAGCAATTAAAGCTGACTGGTGGCGGTCGAAGTAGTGTTGCGAATGAAACTGCCTCTGCTGTAGCAGTCATTATACCATCACAGATCGACAGTTTGTCCAACCCCTATGATAATGACAATGTGGAGCAAGGTATTTATTCGTAGTAGTTACCTAGAATGCTGTTTATTATTACTGCTATTGATGATATTGTAATCGCCCGTATAAATAGATTGTCATATTTTCCGCACACTATTAAGTTATTTGAATGTATATGACAAAGTATAACTGTAAAATGGTTACTTTATTGCAATACTTCATTACAGATAAAAAAGATGCTGTACGCGACGATCAGCATGACATTCAACATGATAGCCTTGTTGATGATGAACCCACTCCATCAACTGTCACTATTACAGATCTAGATGAGACTGGAAAGCAACCCACTTCATCCACTCCGCCGGTCAGGAAAACCCAGGTCACTCCTGCTCAATCCGATGCTTGGCAATGCAGCAAGAACAACACCGTGCTGAACTCGAGTACCTGAAGATGGAGTACATGGAAGAAGAACATAAAAGAAAATGGAAGTGCTTGATGCTGAGTTAAGTTACTGGAATAAACAGGGCGAAAAGAAGAAGAAAACTGAAACCCAAAATGCGTGATGAATCAGTAGATGCTTAAAGAACTGCTGCCATTATTGTATGATTTGGTATTGACTCAATAAATAGTTCACGCAAATACTTACTTTGTTGTTGTCCTTTTATGAGAAATGTTGCTGTATTATGGTACGTCTGGCTGCATTGCCCAATCCTCTAGCTGGAACAGGAAACTGTGCTACAACTTGGTTCGGTGCATTCTGCGGAGGTGGCTCATCCATGGGGTCATTCCTGGCTCTTACAAAGTTATACAGAGTTGCTGTGGCGATAATGATGGTCAAAGTGGTCTGTAGTTTTGTGCGAAGGGACATGCTGAGGCAGGGAAACGAGCGTTTCCATGTACCAAACATTCGTTCAACTGTGTTTCGGGTACGTATCTGAGAAGCATTGTAACAACGCTCTGGCCTTGTAAGTGGGTTTATTATTGGAGTCATCATATATGGACGACACGCGTAACCCCCATCGCCTAGCAGAATACCTTCTATATCCCCTCTTTCAAGTTGTGCACACAGACGACTGTTGTCAAATATTCGTGCATCATGTACACTGCCAGGCCACCGGGCCACGATATGCAACATCTCCAAATTGTAACCACATACAGCCTGAACGTTGATAGAGAAGTAGCCCTTCCGGTTTCTGTACAGTTCTGCATCCACACCACCTGGAGATGGTATTTTGATGTGAGTGCAGTCGATAGCACCCACAACGCCTGGAAAGCCGGCTATCCTCCAAAATCCTAGCTTCATATTTTGAAGTTCTTGTCCTTCAGGAAACCGTATGAATTGTGGTTTAAGCGAAGCAATACCTTCTGATACTCTTTTGATGATACGACTTGCAGATGACTGGGAAATGTCACAGAGATCTCCACAAGCCATCTGGAAGGTGCCAGTGGCATAGAAACGCAATGTAAGTAGCAGCTGTATATCTGCAGGGATTGGATTGCCTCTTTCATTATGAGGGGCTATCATTGGTGTTACCAAACGCAACAATTCCTGGAAGGCGTCTTTGGTCAGTCTGTAACGTCTTCTGAACTCCTCGTCAGTGTACTTTTCATAGTCAAAATTGTACTCTCTTCGCACTTGACCGCCAACATGTTGTAATCTATTATTGTTTTCTATTCTATTTAGCCACACAACCGCCATTTTGGTAAACAAACATTGAACTGAGTGAATGTTGAGGGAGGTGTACCACACACTCAACCATCACTCAAAATTAATAACTTGAATGAGTGTGAGTGCGNGGTGATACGACTTGCAGATGACTGGGAAATGTCACAGAGATCTCCACAAGCCATCTGGAAGGTGCCAGTGGCATAGAAACGCAGTGTAAGTAGCAGCTGTATATCTGCAGGGATTGGATTGCCTCTTTCATTATGAGGGGCTATCATTGGTATTACCAAACGCAACAATTCCTGGAAGGCGTCTTTCGTCAGTCTGTAACGTCTTCTGAACTCCTCGTCAGTATACTTTTCATAGTCAAAATTGTACTCTCTTCGCACTTGACCGCCAACATGTTGTAATCTATTATTGTCTTCTATTCTATTTAGCCACACATCCGCCATTTTGGTAAACAAACATTGAACTGAGTGAATGTTGAGGGAGGTGTACCACACACTCAACCATCACTCAAAATTAATAACTTGAATGAGTGTGAGTGAGGTCTGTGAAAGGTTCAAGTCTGAGGTAAACCTTTCACTCATTGAGTGTCAAGTGGCACTCTATGAGTGTGAGTGTGAGTGACCTTATAGAATACGGGCGACAGTCTAGTTTTCTGACAACGGAAATGAAGAAATGAAACCCTCCATGTGAATCTCTTCTACGTTATAATGGTCAACATGCAAGACGAACATTTGGCTTAATCTTTTACAATATATTTATTCATAAATATTTCAGCAATAATGTTACATCAAATTTATGACTGTGTGACAGTGAGGAATTGCTTGCTGAAGCGTTAAGTATAGTCACATTGAAATGTGTGCGTAAATTCAGAAATGTAATCATCGCCGCTAAACTCTTCTAAGTGATACACCGGATAGGCCTACGAAAGAAAATATGTGAGATTTATGGCACAATGCATGATGTTACACCAAATGTTTTGCATATAAAATGGTGAAAAATTAATCGCTTTCACGTAAAATATAGGCATAAACAATAAAAACGGTCATACATGATTAAATATGTTATTACCAGCTATTTATCTTTGTTATACATCAGACGATTTGCAAGATTCAAATATTGACAAAGTGTCCATCTTTTATCAAATATAAAATTCTATATATAACAAAATAATGTTTCAACAATCAATAACTTTACTGCTGTAAAGCAGTGAGAATTTAATTGCTCACGGCACGCGTAAAATGTAATTATAAACAAAGAAAAACTCCAAACATGATTTGTATTAGATACTTGCCTTCAACCCGCATGTATGACTGCCCGTCCAGCTTTAAAAAATCTCAAGTTTTTATACGTCATTTTTAGTAAATTAATATATATATAGATAAATAGAAAAGTAAATGCCAATGCCCCAAAACAAACCCCCAATAGGCGACTCACTAAATTTAACACCGTTTTTCATATTAAATGCAGGATAAACGATTCGTCAACCGTTTTAGTCACAATTTAGATGCATTTCTTTTTCTGACAGCTTCAAATTCCGCCTTCCCTCTTATACCACTATTCTTCACTGCTAATACAGCAGCATGCATATCCTTCTTCATATTTTGAAGAGTGACACGATCGTATCCCTTAGAACCGACCAAACTGTTTGCCAGCTCCAATGACTTCTCTATCAGTTTTTCAGGACCTGTTATTAATTTTACAAGACCTGCCTCGAGGGCTGCCTCTGCCGTGAAACGCTTGCCTAGAATGGCCACTTCAGTTAAGACTGGGCTAGATATTTTCGATCTGAAAATATTAACACAGATGTTTTGCAAAAGTTATCAAAATAAAAGAAGTTAGCTTATATACTGCTTATCAAGATGAAACATATAGGTCATGACAATGCGCCAAATTAACTGATTAATTTTCTTAATACACAATCAATATCAAAGGTACTCAATGGATAGCCAACATAATATGTACGTAAACTTTCTATTTTTTTTTTCTAATCCATAACTCTTGTAGTCCATAATGGTCAACAAAGCATTGACTGCCATCTGTTATCACACTGAGTATGCAGTCTCTTATGAAACGCGGGGTGTCCCATACACTGAAATTTTGTTGGTAGGTACCTTTTTTATAATGACATTCTTTCAAACTTACTTCAGTAAGCCCATTATAAATTCTGAGAATCTCAGTTTGATATGGACTTCATTAAGGCACAGCCAGCCGGCTCCTGTCCGCATTGTGCGGTAGTCATGACACAGGGCTAGGATACCGCCGCCTGCAAAGGCATGACCTGGGGCGGGATATAAGAACAAGATAAAATAAATGCCTGGGGAAAATACCCGGTAGTTCAAAAATTGCATTGCTAACTACAACTGAGGACACGGATGCCGACATCTGACTGATACAAAAAGATAGAAAGATAAAAAAACTAAAACTGTAGATTCAAACTAATATAATGCATGAACCGATACAAAAGGACTTAAACTGCCAATGGTTAACTACAAGGTGTAACTGATGTGTATATTTGTGGCCTCGAGAGGATTTTTTTAACAGTGGGGTGTTAATTATGCGACCTTTCCAACCTAGCATGTACCAGTAAAGCCAAAACCGCAGCAAAAGAATTAAGACCTATGAAGATACATATACATTAGATGGGGGAAGCATGTTGCTGCTGCCCCCCCCCCCCCTTCCCGCCTCCCCCCAGGTCCACCACTGCTTCAGTACATGATGTATTGCAATGTTATCGAACCCTGCCTGGGTGTCAGTGCTTACCGTTTAATGCCGCTACAGTGGGCATGGGAAATGTTAGCAGTCGAGCCAGGATATCATGAAGATCTTGAAAGAACTTTATATATGTCCTTTCATCGATTGAAGAGAACCATTGGACGTCCAGGCCGTTACTGTAGAATTTACCTTCCCCTGTGGTTACTAGAGCTTTGATGTTAGGGTTACTGAAAAAGAAACATTTATTGGTAAGTTTTAATCGTTTTCGTAAATTTTGACATGTAGGATTCAGATTCAGAAGTTTATTGACAATCGCCCTACATNCCCCCCCCCCATGATCGCTAGTCACTTCAACTTCATAACGAAATGCACACACAATACTGACACTTGTACCTTGAATTTTCAACTTTACATTAGTTTTTACTATTTATTAAACTGCTAAGTACCGTGTACTAGTACATGTACATGGGATGCATGATAAATGGCAAGCCAAGTACCTGTACATGATAATGGCAAGCCAAATCGAAAACGCCGCCGTCTTATTTACTTTGATTATATTAAGCAGTACTAACCCCTCGACTGAATCAAGTGCTTTATTGAGGGATTGGACAAATCTTCCGTTAATTTTGTTATCTCCATTTACCAAACGAATCACAGCGATCTTGTTAAAAAAGTTCAGGCGGACAACACCGTAGTCTTCGGCCATTTTGTCCCACGTGACTGTCATGTGATTCGGGGCTGAAGGTTACAAACCACTATTAAAAATCCCATTCACTTCCATTGTAACGTTTAATTCTCTTAAAAATATTTCCCATGCATCAACAAACACAACACTTCAGGTTTAAATACTTCTACTCAAGGCCTAAACAATATTAAAAAATCAGGGTACATTAATGGCATAGCTTGCCAGTGACATGACATGACCCGTAAGGTGCTGCCGCCAGTCAGCCAAAATAAGCACTAAAATGCAGCAGAAGGGAGGGCATGTAAAACTGGCCCCAGGCAGTAAAATTTCACTCTGATATGAAAAATAACACATCAAATTAAAGGTAAATGAACAAATTTATTTCTGAAATTTATTTCAAAATTTTCAAATGATCCAAAATTGAAAAATAAACTCATTTTTCTCTTATATGCAAATCTTCTTGATTCAAACTTGCTAAACAAGGAAGGCCGGAAGTGCCGTATAACCTGAACCGTACCCTTATGACAAATATTGTTGTCAGGACCTCAAATTCCGTTCTAAACTCAATATATGGGGTCTTTATAAAATTTGAAAAATATTTGGAATTATGAGTGATTAGTTTCCATTTTGCCTTACATTTAATTTATGAAAAATTTATCCACTTTAGGAATATTGAAAGTGGACAAGTTTTAACCTGGGACCTACATGTAGTTTCTAAGGTCTTAAAAAAAGATATATTTGTCCGTCAAGATTTGTATTATTCAACACGCACACATACGAAGAACAATATTTCAATGTTTTGTATTTATTATGTTTTCATATTGTGACGACTGCACATTTAAAAAATAAGTTTACTGGACGGAATAACATTTAATAGGCTGCACAACAGCCATAATAACATACAGCTAAAAATCAAAATTATGTAAACTAAAAAGAAAAGATTCAATCTTCTTTATATGATAATGAAACAAATTCAAGCACAACAAATATGAATACAACCTTTAATAGTGCAGCAAAAGGAATTAAATTGTCTAACTAACTTCACTGCTTATGAACTAACTTCACTGCTTATGCTATTTTCGGGTCAGACTATTTTCAGCTATCACAAGCTAGTTATAAGCTTTTCTTTTTTAATCACATATCAATTCACACAAATTTTCTCTTCTGCTAATAATTTTCACCAACATTCATTGCTGAAGAGGTCACCTTAGGCTATACCTAATCATCATTCAAAATAATAATAACCAAAACTACCATACTTCCTATTGACAGAGTCCCATGCATGGCACAATACGCAGCAAATGACTGCCACCAGTTCAATTTTACAGTGTAAATAATGGAACATGACACTCTTATCAGCACAGAATACAAGACGTTCATTATATCAACCACTGCATGCTGCACAGGATTGTCACACAGAAAATCCATCTAACTTCTCCTATATGCCTTCACCTGCACAACATTATATAAACCTCATGAGGAGAACTGTAACAAATATATGCCCCATGTTGTTGACCTGTATTAGAAATCTGCGCTTGTGCTTGTGTTTTTCATATTCTCAAATTGGGAACCTATACTGTATAGAACATCTATACTTCAACATCTTAAATTGAAACAAAATTATAATACTGACAATTAATTAACAACCAGGATAAAAAAAAAACCTGCCAAAGACTTAAAGACTCAAACCAATCAAACTTTAAATATAGTCAACTCTGTTTTCATTTTAACTCGATTCTTATGCCAAATCCATTTTCAGTCAAGTGATCAACTCTCTGTAACTTTATTTTCTCAAGGCTTTGTGATACTCTGCATGTCCAAAAATATGGTTTTCCTGAATTTCTTCTCCAGCTGTTGCATAAATTCTAGGTGCTCTCCAACACGAAATCCTTGGATTGGTTCCTCCTAGAACAAAAAGGAGACAGTCATACATAGCAATTTTAATGCTTAAAGGGATAATAACTCTTCGTATGAGATCTATATTTCACAATAAAAACATTGTGAATAACTCATAGAAATGTAATATATTCTGTTTTACCACAAAAACGGCAGTTATAGCTATTTTTTCTGATATCTGAGCTTGTCTTTAGACCACGTGACCTCCATTGATGGATATACTCTGTTAAAATCTCTTAAGAGATTTTAACAAAAAACCAAACTTTTTAGAAAAAAACCAGGGACTAACTTTGAATGTAAAAATGGATTCATTTACCATTGGTAAGTATGGGAAAATTGTTGTTTACTCCAGGAAAATTCATTTTTTGGACGAAACGAAGAGTTATTATACCTTTAAGGTTCTCTTCTTACTTGAAATGTACAAGGCTGCAGAAATGAAACCCTTACTGGTATAAGAGTGTTAGATAATTTATTTTTTAGTGTAGACAACAGGTAAGATTATACTATCTGATACAGTGCTAAGAGATTAAGACACTGACCTTGAGAAAAATGACCAGATCCTGTTGCTGTACATGGTGCATGATTTCCTGCTTCATATGTTTTAATATGGCCACACACAAATACACCTGAAACAACAGGTATACATTCTTGCACTTTGTCTTAAAGTTACTTTTCAAGTTCATATTGTACGTGTTAAGGAAACTGGCTTTAGTTTATGTTTTAAGGTATCCGTATCAAATAGTAATATAATTGCTACTCTTAATGAAAGGCATGTCTGCCTTCAATATTATTTGTGACATAACTGACTAAATACAATATTAAAATAATCAAGACCTCAGATTTATGTTTTTCTATATATTTGTATTTAAATAAGCAGATTATATTCATATGGCTCCATTCAAGTTACTCTTATAAATGTACATTAAAGGCCTCCAGACAAACACATTCTCTCTCTCTCTCTCTCTCTCTCTCATTTAGACATTTATAAGCTATTGGTAACAGATGGAACTACTCTGAGGACATCTACTAGTTGTGACCTTGACCTCACTCTCTGAGAGTCTCACCTGGTAGTCTATTCCCATCACTGTACACAGGCAGATATAGTGGGTGATGTCAAGCCAGTCCAAGAAATTCCAGAAACACTGACGCAGCCAGTGCTGAACAATCTGAAATGTCATCATTATGTTACTAGACAATTTGAAAATGTAAGTCATCATCTTTGTGAAAAATCTGAAATAATCTGTCAGGATAATGATTGGAGGGTTATAGACCAGCCAGAAAACCCACCAATGAGATCTTCTGGGACAGTTTTCATAAAGAGTTTGCTCAATTGCCCAATTAAATGAAATATTGCATATGTTTGATAACAAGAAACAAATAATGTCTAATGTTCCAGTCTTATAGGTACTGCTATGATTTTATCCGAAATTTAGAGTGTACACATCTGTGTAGAGTGTACATCAACTGGCACACCTGCCTGAGTGTTTTTACCTGAGATACTGTGTATCCTGACATTTTGAAGGCAGAGAAGACCTCAGGCACCTCAGCCAGTAAGATAAGCTCCACATTGTGTCCTGTGGTGGAGAAAAGAGGCGGAATACCACTGCTCATCAAACCCTGAGGAAGATGGACCTGGAATAAGTCAAAGTATTAATTTTAATCTATCTAGACTAGTTTAAATTTCTATCAAACACAGAATGAAATTTTTTAATTAAAATTCTCATACTGGGCAATCACATAAAGATGGGATGAACTCTGCCATAATGGAACATACCTGGTGGGATTTTGTTAAAATGGGAGTGGAGGGAGACAGTTGTAATGGGGACAGATGACATGTACAATATGTAGATGTAATGGGACAGACGGGCTACAGTTGTTATGGGAGGACCACAATATAGATGCGAAGAACAAGAGACAATGAACATAAGGAGCATATGATTCAGATCTTCTTTTCATGCCACTCTTTCCCCTGATGGAGTGATGGAGTGAGGGAGGAGGGGGCAGACTCGAAGTTACTTACAGAGGAGTGTAACCGTGGTATCCACAAGTAGCCAGAGGCCACCAGGGTTGAGAACTGGTACAGAAACTTCCAGGACCTCTCTAGGTTGCCATTCATGAGAAGGAAGATTGTGGAGGCAAACCAGTCAAAGCCTGGGTAATCTCCCTGGAGCAGGTCTGTGGGGATTATGTTAAGGGATTACTATCACTTGGATTGACTTAAAACTAATCTTCCCATTAAAGGGCAGTGGATTACTTTCTAAAATATGTAAAGATACAGTAAACAATTTCTTGATTTTATTTCTTCAATGTTGAAAAAAAATACAAAATTTTAAATGTATCTGTAATTATTTAGTTTTGCTCCCTTTTCTTGAGCTTTAAATTTCTATAAATTAAAAAATAATAATGCGACAATTCTTATCAAACCAAAGTGGATTCTCTACTTTATTATAATTTTTTTATGTTAGCCTAAGGGTAGTCCTCTGTGAGACATAATGTCATCACGTAAAATTTTCCAGAAATGTTTTGAAAATCACTTCATGTTTTCTCAAAAGAAAAAACACCTTGAAAAAATTAAGACATCATTATCTAGTATGAAATAAAACATAAATATATACAGTCTAACAGAAAGGATACGTAAATTAGATTCTACAGACTTCTGCTGCTGATGCAAGAAGTAGCCGCACTGTTTCAGTAATTGTGTGAGATTCTCTGTGGCTTCTGGGCTGGAGTTCAGGACCTTCAGGTGCATGCCATACCTGACAGTGAGGAAAATGATATAATACTATAATAGGGTGAACTCAGATAATGATGGAATTGTAATTAAATCTCATACTAAAGCTTATGTTAATTCCAAGATTGATAAAAAATGGGTTAAATTACTTTTATGCCTATCATATGATATGTTTTAAGAGTAAGATTAAGGATTCCATTAGTTGATGTCAAAGAGAATGAGTACACTTCCACCACAATTTACTAAATGATGGTCACAATTTATACAATAATTTACCTGACAGCCATCTTCACTCCCAGTTGTTGTAAGGGGGTGAGGTGATAACCTCTCAATGCACTGTCTGTTCCTGGAATGACAAAGATAATCTACTTTAATCCAATGTAAAACTGAAGATTTAAAGAGCTTTAAATGCTTGTTTTTAAATTTCCAAGTTTATTTACTTAGTAATTTATAATTTAAAAATTATCCCTTTTTTAAAAACAGTAATTATAACTAGCAATGATGTCCAAGTTAAGTATACAACAAAATATACAAATTATTAATGCTGTCTAACCTGGTATATATTTTTATTGTTATTTTCAACATTCTCCTTGATATTTAAACCTTCCAGTTTATTTGGTTAAATCCAATTAAAAATAAAGGTAATAGATTTAATAACTGATAAAAAAAAAGATTTGGGACGAGGAGTTTTTAAGGAGGTAAGAGCTTCTACTGACAGAAATGTCTCTAAATGGTCTATAATATATTGAGGAATTGTATATTTGATGTGTAAAAAGATGAATAAAGTTTATAGTTTTAGCACACAAAATATGACAAAAATGCCCCAAACATGAAATAAAATTGACATTTCAAAGGAAAGATTAAACTGATTGAAATAAATAGAAATTAAAAAATCAACAGTAATATAAACCTGTAGAATGAAGAATAACAGTCAAAGGGATCTCATTTCAACACAGATTATAATAAAGTTCCATCAGGAATCAGAAAAAAAAATGCAAACAATATAAACTGCATTTGATAAAATTCATCTAACTCAATAAAAATCTTCAAATGCCCTGAAACCAATGGTTAACTAAAATGAGGGTTAAGGGTAAAATCAAATACTCACTTTCTTTCTCTTTTTCTACAATATGCAAGGATACAGAAAGGCATTTAACTAAACCTTATTTCTTTAGATTTGAACAATTACATAGACATGGAATAGGCCATTTAAGTGTGCCCCTGGATCATCTCATGAAGCATAATACATATTAATCATATTTTCTATCAACAGTATTATAACAAGTATCCCCCTTTATAATCATAAGTTAGTCCAGATACATAGTATTCTGACACTTGTCATTACGTTTTTTATGTATTCTATCATAAATAGTAACTTTGAAAATTGAAAAGCATTTATTTCTACAGCAGCATTATTCTGACTGACTGCTGATCAACTTCTGAATTTACCTTTTATAAATGAACTCTCTATCAGCATCTTCAATGATTATAGTACATTTTTTTATGTGTGTGTGTGTGTGTGTGTGTGTATGTGTGTGTGTACAACTGTGTTCGTATGACTCACCTGAATATTCTATGAGTGGGAAAAGTGCCTCCTCTGGTGTATCTGCCAGCACTGGAGTTACTTCCTCCAACATGTTTTGTAAAACTAGAATGAAAAAAATGAAAAATATTGTCACATTTTATTACAGATTAAGGACAAACCTGCTCCCCACCACCACCCACCCCACCCCAAACAACAAGGGAGTCTTGTTTTTCAGTTCAGTAACTGCTTTATATTACGTAATGGGATACTGCAGTTAAATTCTGGATTGAAGTCAACTACAACACTTGATCTTAGGCTCTATTCCCATAGATTTTAGATCGATCTATCCCCGCGGGGAGTCTCACTAGATTACTTCAGATAATCCGACTTAAAGTCCGTCCCGCCTACAACAAGCTTTAAGGGGGTAATTAACTTTCGTGTCCGCCCGGCTGACAGCTATTTAGCGTGAACCCCCAGGGAGTTAGGTCGATCTAAAGTAGGTCGATCTAATCTATGGAAATGGGGTGTTAGGTTGTAACAAATAAAATCAGTTCTTTCATCAAATTGCCCCCAGACTAACCATTTCCCTTGGCCTGCTCTGGCTTTGTGGTCAGTATAGTACAGAAGGTCTTCCTACACTTGTCCAGCCAGGACTGGTCATGCTGCTGACCCTTGGTGTCCACCAAGAAGCGACTCAGTTCATTTTCTGAAGGTTAGTAATTAAAAGAAGTAAGAAACACATAGAGGATATTTACTATGAAATGCATTATTATGATAATATTTTCATTTTGCTCATAACTAATGATTAGAAATTTAAACTTAATTGTACTGATTGATGATGATGATAATATCACAGCTTTGAACGTGGATATTTGTCAGCAGTTTGACCAATGCTGAAAAAACAACAATTTATGCATAAAATAGTCAGAAGAATTTCAAATCATATTTTAGTTCGATAAATTTCAGTCAAACTTCTGATTAATTATTGAAACATCACTAACTTTCATTAAAAATAAATATGGCCTTTTTTCTCTGATATTTGGCTTTGTAAGCCAGTGCTCATCATATAATGTTCACTTGAAATAAACTGTTTGATTTTCTCTTTAAAAGTCAGACACTGTTCAAAAGATGTCCCTGAAATAAAAATCCAACTAAGAGATAACAAAGTGCATGCAAGGAAGAATTTGTGTCAAAGTCAGTGCTCCAAACACAAAAAGATTTACATTTTGACCCAAGGATAAAAAAGTACAGGTGTTAGAATCGTCCATTACGTGAGAATTCAACATGTCCTTTCTGCAACAACTCAACACACCTCAATCATACCACTTATGTATGTTTATACCTAAAATAATACTGCAGCTCAGCTGGGTTCCACCTGACTGAGAAGCTTAAAATCATTGAAATTGAAAGTGGTGGACTGATGTTGTTCTTGTATCTTTAATGTCATCAGTTTATTAAATATAGTTTATAATTAGGTCAACTTTGCCAATCCAACCAGTACTTTATGTACTATGCTTAACCATGGCTAACACATTTCTGTCACACCTTACACATATATCTGTCACACATCTTTGTCACATCTAGCACATTCATCACTGTCACACCTAACACATTTATCACTGTCACAACTATCACCCTTATCACTATTTTCACTGTTACACATAACACATTTCTCACTGTCACACATAACACAAATTACACAGTGCATGCAAAGTATAGTTATCAGTACAAACTGTGTTTCACTTCAAACCATGCTTGTGAATATTATAACTCAGTGACCAACAATTGCACGAAATGCACGTGAGTGTACCCAGGAAATACATGTGCACGCACGCGTGAAATCATACCTGGCCCATTTGTATTTAATGTATCCAGAAAGTTTGCTGTAATAAAAAGGGCACCATCTCCATAGCAAGCAGTTTTATTCTAAACCAAGTGATGACCCCCATCAAAAGCATTTTATTTCTAGTTTCATTTCAAGCTTAAATTCAATTATTTTATATACTTCCATGACTAATTAAATAATGAGATAATAATTCAACTAAAGCCAATAAAAATAAACTTCAAGTTTTTTATATTTCTAAAGCCACCCTGCTCTCCTCAATGGTATATTTAATGTAAGGCAGTTAATGCACTATGCTAGGAAAGACCCTGGCCTTACCTTGTTTCATAACAGACCTCCCTGCAATGTTAGGTGTGTACTCTCGTGGAACAGGGTAAGAGGAGAACATGGGATAGGGAAAGGCATCGCCTTTATCCTGGAATGAAAACAGAAGTTTACTGACATTTGTTGAAACACAAAACGTAGTACTACTTACTTTCAACTCCAAAACAATGTCAATATGCTTTGGATGAAACTTAAGCAACTTGAATGATTGAATCAATATCATCAAACAGCTATCAAAATCAGTTCAAATTATAATAAATGACAACCAGAGGTAAAATTACAAAATCTTCAATATTATTAGTATTGGTGACCATGTACTTTGCTTCAAAAATTCAAAAGCCATTTATTATAATACCAGTCCAGATCTCAGTGTTTGTCACTTACTGATAAGACCTTTGGTGGAATGACCCTTTCTGTGGGTCCACCAATAAGATAGGACTTGACCAGCAAGTAGTTTCTTTCTATAGACAGCATATCGACAATGATGTCTCCACTGGAACATAAGAAAACGATTTTACAGTACAACCTATAAGAGGGAAATAATATTTTAAGACTTAAAGATGTACTCGTGACTTTAAACATCTTCAACAATGTGCATTATTTGTTAAAGTGATAATAACTCTTCGTTTGGGCCAAAAAATGAATTTTCCTGGAGTAAACAACAATTTTCCCATACTTACCAATGGTTAATGAATCCATTTTTACATTCAAAGTTAGTCCCTGGTTTTTTTCTAAAAAGTTTGGTTTTTTGTTAAAATCTCTTAAGAGATTTTAACAGAGAATAGCCATCAATGGAGGTCACGTGGTCTAAAGACAAGCTCAGATATCAGAATAATAGCTATAACAGCCGTTTTTGTGGGAAAACAGAATATATTATATTTTTATGAGTCACTCACAATGTTTTTATTGTGAAATACAGATTTCATACGAAGAGTTATTATCCCTTTAATACAAATTTCATCTTTAATCCAAATTGAAAGGTGGCATAGTTGTAGTTTAATACATAATAAGATGTCCTCAACCAACCACACTTAAAACAGCATTTTAAATTGATTTAATGTCATCTTGTTACTCCAGTGTCACTGTGTTGATCTCCTGGACTCTACAACTCTACACCAATAACTATCAACTATCAATGGCAATGTTACAATATAATAACAATGTTACTCTAGCCTACATCCACTGTTTTTAACATTGTATTTGTTAATACTATTAACAAATACCAATTACAATGTAGCAAAAATGATAACAATGAAACCCTACCCTACATCCACTGTGTTATTTTCTTGGCAGGCTAACAGTATATCTTGTATTCTGTACTGTGTTTATAATGTTAACAAATATCAATTACAATGTTATAATATAACAGTGTTACCCTACCCTACATCCACTGTGTTATTCTCTTGGCAGGCCAACAGTACATCTTGTACTGTGTTTATACCATTAACAAATACCAATTACAATGTTAAAATATAACAGTGTCACCCTACCCCACATCCACTGTGTTATTCTCTTGGCAGGCCAACAGTACATCTTGTACTGTGTTTATACCATTAACAAATACCAATTACAATGTTAAAATATAACAGTGTCACCCTACCCCACATCCACTGTGTTATTCTCTTGGCAGGCCAACAGTACATCTTGTACTGTGTTTATACCATTAACAAATACCAATTACAATGTTAAAATATAACAGTGTTACCCTACCCCACATCCACTGTGTTATTCTCTTGGCAGGCCAACAGTACATCTTGTACTGTGTTTATACCATTAACAAATACCAATTACAATGTTAAAATATAACAGTGTTACCCTACCCCACATCCACTGTGTTATTCTCTTGGCAGGCTAACAGTACATCTTGTACTGTGTTTATACAATTAACAAATACCAATTACAATGTTATAATATAACAGTGTTACCCTACCCCACATCCACTGTGTTATTCTCTTGGCAGGCTAACAGTACATCTTGTACTGTGTTTATACAATTAACAAATACCAATTACAATGTTATAATATAACAGTGTTACCCTACCCCACATCCACTGTGTTATTCTCTTGGCAGGCTAACAGTACATCTTGTACTGTGTTTATACAATTAACAAATACCAATTACAATGTTATAATATAACAGTGTTACCCTACCCCACATCCACTGTGTTATTCTCTTGGCAGGCTAACAGTACATCTTGTACTGTGTTTATACAATTAACAAATACCAATTACAATGTTATAATATAACAGTGTTACCCTACCCCACATCCACTGTGTTATTCTCTTGGCAGGCTAACAGTACATCTTGTACTGTGTTTATACAATTAACAAATACCAATTACAATGTTATAATATAACAGTGTTACCCTACCCCACATCCACTGTGTTATTCTCTTGGCAGGCTAACAGTACATCTTGTACTCTGTACTGTGTTTGCAGCAACAGAAATGTGTCAAGACACGAAAACATAGAGCTCAGTAACCTGAAGAAGAAGAATAACATGGACTGAGTATAAAAAGGCACAAATTTAATGTCAAATTTAAACTGCTAATTACAACAGCAAACTTGCATTCGAAGAAAGCACTCTTGGAATTATTCCACATAAGTGTGTTTAAAATTACTCATTGGAACATGTACCACAGACAGAAATGGTTATTATGTTCAATACTCATGGAAATTAAAATTTATGAATTTAAAGTAAAATATCAAAATTAATTGTAATGTTTTATATGATTCTACTATTTGCCATCATGTAAAATTGCTACACAACCAACAATGTTTTTTCATAACTGCACAAATTACATTTCATTAGTGCACTGGGAAAAGCAGTCTACTTTTTTAATATGAAAGAAAATTCAATAACTCTGCCCAATTTTTGGCAAAATATAAGTTCTTCTAGTCATGCATCACAATTCTTCTAGCCTCTTCTTAGCTAAAAAACACAACAGTATACCTGAGTCCAAAAACATGTGATTGCTCATAGTTGAAGAGGGAGTGTATCTTTGCATCTGTGTCCACCAGAACTAGTCTGTCTAGCACTTCCTGGAATAGAGAGAAGAAATTTCAAGGACAGAATATACTGACCAACATACTGGCCAATGTACTGACCAATGCTACAAATATATATTACGCAGCTCTTCTCTATCTGCTTCTGCGACTCAAAGACCAACTGAGTCATAGATGCATCATAAGTCTGTGGATAATACATGAACCTGGACAACAAGTGGTGTGTAGTTGACTTATACTACAGTGTAACGACAAAAGATGAGCTTTATGTCCCCAATGCCAGGTATGGAATAACACACTTCACACATGGCATGCATGCAGACGAAATACACTCCATTTGTGTCCACTGTTCTTGAAATTTGCCATGGTATTAAATCCCTTATACATAAGATCATCTTCCATTAAAAATATGACACACGTTCCTGATGATGAAATATAACAACGGTACCACAAACATTTTAAACAAATAAATAAATTAATTAATTAATCAATCAATCATCTTTTTAAAAAAGACAGTATTAGGTCACTGTCTCACCAAAGTAAATTAGCAATTAAGTAAACAAACAAACAGATAAATAAGATGGTATTCAATCATTGCGTCTTACCAGTATTGTATTAGGCATTTCTCTGAGGCTGTAGCTCTCTCTCACTGGGAGAGTCTTGTCACATAACACCTCATACACTGCAGGGAATGCACTCAGGATGTTCAGCATTCGGATTAGGGACTGGAAAAAGAAATAAGGATTCTGAAGAATTATGAATGCCTAAAATAAGAGTCCACATGTTCTGTCTCTTCATGTTTTTTTTTTTCTTTTCTTTCTTTTTTTTTTACAATTTAAAAAACTTTAAGCATTTTTGTCAATGACAGAGAAAAAAGTAAGAAATCCACCACAGATTTGTTAATGTTTAATAAGTAAAACAGATTGTAAATGAACATTTTATTGTGTGAAAATGTGTGGACTCCGTCTAGATAAAACTGTTTTCCTCACCTTGTGTGCAAACCTGTCAATGGGTTCTACAGGCCAGGTCTTGGGTGTGAACACAGTCCTGTCATCTGACCCACACTCTAACACACTCCACAGCTCATTCACCATGGCCTTGATAAATCCTGGAAAAATATTACATTTCAGCAAGTTGAAAATTCAGGTCATTTACATAAATGAAACACTATGAAAATACTCTCTATGTTAAAGAAGATCTTTAGTCCTGATCATTTAACAGCTACATATGCATTACCAATATTCTAATATCAAATATTTAAAGATTTTTCTTTGACAGAAATACAATTAATTCCTCATAACTTGTCATCTTATGAGTAAAATCATTGTTTATCTAAATCAATGGGCTGGAATTATTACCTTAAGTTTGGTAACTGAAACTGAAATCAATATGAACATTTTTTTTTTCAAATCTCTGTGGAGCTCTGATAACTTTTTAAAAATTTTACTGTGTCTGCTATCCATTCTACTGTCAACTATTCTGTAAAGACTTGTTCAAAACGCATCTTGTGTTTTAGTACTGACTAACTTATAAAAGCCATGTTTTTCATGTTACATTTTAAGTTTAATTGTACTTTGATCAATAAATACCTGTATTTTGCAGTGCCATCATTCCTGGGGCTGTGGCCGCCACCTGGGTCATCATAGTGCCATAGCCAAACTTCTCATACTTGCTCAGCTGAATTGGTATTAAAAAATTGTTTCAGATAAATAGAATGACAGATGTCAAGGTCAAAATTCAGGATCAGGTATACTAGCAAATCTTATTGGAATCTTAAGTAGCCAAGACTGAAATCTAGTTCAGCCAGTTACAAAATTCCAATCACTGAATCTTTATTTTTTTTACAAGAACTTAAAATGTCATACAATATCAAAACTTTTTGACTATTTCATAAACTTCTGTTAGTAGAACTAACATCAAATAATTTGTACTCAAGCCTGGATGACTCAAACCTCTCCAGCCTACCTGTAACTTCTTCTCATATCTGGCATACATATACTCCACACACTCATCTATGGCCCCAGTCTGCTGTAGCAGCAGGAGACCCTTGGGTGTGGCTGCAAAGTTCAGCAGGTTATCTCTCAGGGTGTCCTCCCAGACAAACCTATGGGAACATAACAGTAATAATATAAGAGAGAATAACCATAATATATGAGATAGCATCAATTATAATCAGATGGCATTTTAATGCTAGACACTTTTAAAGAACTTTTAAAGAATTTACTGAAATACTTTTCTTAACAAGCACTCGTAAGGGGCTGCTCAATCTTGTACACAAGAAAATAAATAGTCTAAGAGTAATGGGTCAATTTGAAAATATCATATCAACTAAAAGGTGACAGAAACAACACTAACTTTCTTGCAAGTTGGTTAATATTCTTGGCAATATAATGATAAAAAATAGTTATGAATTAATTAATTAAATAAACCTACGCCTCATGTGAGGAATATCTGGACTCTTTGCTACAGGTGTAATCACTCCCATTTATAGAGGGCGTGGGAGTGACAACCATCTCTGAGGCAAGACAAGCCTACAAATAGCAAAAAAAAAATACAATTTAGTACATCAGCTCATAATATAACATAATTTAATACAAACATTTAATTGCAATTTGACAGCCATGCCAGTATACAAACTAACTGTGTTCACGAGAAGTTACTTTATTCACCCGTCTATAGGTGCATTAACATGTATATGGGGTCCACACATGTATAAGTTACTCACCTGCCTGTGAGCCGCAGCAATTGTCATGTGTAGGTCATAAGAATACATGACTAAGAGGCCCTCACATGTATTATACAGCTGCCTGCAGATGTAGGTGAATGCCCCTATAACTTTATTGGACGGAGGAGGAGCACTGTCATTTGGCAGGATTCCATTGATTGCTTTTTTGACAAATTCTGCAATTATGTGAGCTGCTGAGGATCTGGAAAAAGGTAAATGTTGAAATTAAATGTTAAATGAATTGTATGGGACTTATTGATTCATAGAGTATATATTAATAAATATATTATGCATCTTCTTCATCAAGTTCCGTTACTTTGGAAAACAAATGAGATCAATCACCAAACTGTCTTCTTACTCTTTCAAACTGAAGTCTGCATTTGACAATTTCTTCTTCAAAAGAAAAAAAATCACAAAATTCTTACTTTGACCTGGTAAACCTCTCCTGTCTCTCCCCATACAGCAGATGCTGGCGCCCTCTACTGGTGGAGGCCAGAGCAGCCAAGATGTCTGCTATGTGCAGGTAGGTCACCTCCGTGGCCTGGTTTATATCATGCTCCTGAAATAAATCCGTGGGACCACCATTATGATTTTCACCAATGACATATCTCTGGTTGAATCAGTAAAAGGGCATATACACAACTGGTAAGGGAAATGGAAATTTAATTTCTTAAGGTAAGAATAAGGGAATTTAAAACTTAGGAATAGGGTTTAAACATCATAATATTCTCATGGCTTTTGGATAGGATATAGTTTGATATTAAAGAGAAAACTTCCGAAATTTCCAGGAGAATCACTATTATTACTATTTGCTGTATAAAGGTATGCCTCTAACTTCTCAGGCTTTCCCACGTACCATGGAGTCATCCAGCCAGTGTGTGATGGGTGTCAACAGAGTATTGATGATGTCATCTTTACACATACAGATCTGACAGATGTCCTCTGAGATACACAGCTTCTTCAACATGTCTGCAGCCAATACCCCAGGGTCATAGGCCACTGGAATACCAATTATAATATACATATAACGGAATATATATTGGAATATATATTGGAGTGAAGTAGAGAACACAATTATAGACAAGCATCCTCTTATCATACTTCTCATCCAAGCATCATACTTGCAGTAACTTTAGGCTACAAGAGGACCAAACACAAAATTACACAAAAACTACTTAATGTACTAATTTATCTTCAACATATCACATAAAATATACTGTAGAATTAACAACTGGTGGAACAATTACTAATACAAGAAAAACAGAATATTCTTTTGACTGACCTAGAAGGCTAAAAGGTAAAATCAAATTTATGAGAAAATTATTACAATTATTCTCAGCAAATCATTAAACAAATTTAACAATCTTTTTAGGAATAATCCTATTAAAAGTAGATTATCTATTATCAAAAGTGCATATTTTATAGAAAGGTCCTGGCATAAGTTCTTTTAAGTACACATACCTGCACTGGGCTTGTGATAGGTGAGACAGCTAGGATCACTTATAAGATGAATCATAGTCACCAACAACTCAGTCACTGACACTGGCTCTGAAAACAGGATAATCATCATTTAGAGGGAAGCAGGCAGGTTTTGTTACTTACCCATGTTGAATGTTAAAGTAAAAGTTANATGCTCCTGAAATAAATCCGTGGGACCACCATTATGATTTTCACCAATGACATATCTCTGGTTGAATCAGTAAAAGGGCATATACACAACTGGTAAGGGAAATGGAAATTTAATTTCTTAAGGTAAGAATAAGGGAATTTAAAACTTAGGAATAGGGTTTAAACATCATAATATTCTCATGGCTTTTGGATAGGATATAGTTTGATATTAAAGAGAAAACTTCCGAAATTTCCAGGAGAATCACTATTATTACTATTTGCTGTATAAAGGTATGCCTCTAACTTCTCAGGCTTTCCCACGTACCATGGAGTCATCCAGCCAGTGTGTGATGGGTGTCAACAGAGTATTGATGATGTCATCTTTACACATACAGATCTGACAGATGTCCTCTGAGATACACAGCTTCTTCAACATGTCTGCAGCCAATACCCCAGGGTCATAGGCCACTGGAATACCAATTATAATATACATATAACGGAATATATATTGGAATATATATTGGAGTGAAGTAGAGAACACAATTATAGACAAGCATCCTCTTATCATACTTCTCATCCAAGCATCATACTTGCAGTAACTTTAGGCTACAAGAGGACCAAACACAAAATTACACAAAAACTACTTAATGTACTAATTTATCTTCAACATATCACATAAAATATACTGTAGAATTAACAACTGGTGGAACAATTACTAATACAAGAAAAACAGAATATTCTTTTGACTGACCTAGAAGGCTAAAAGGTAAAATCAAATTTATGAGAAAATTATTACAATTATTCTCAGCAAATCATTAAACAAATTTAACAATCTTTTTAGGAATAATCCTATTAAAAGTAGATTATCTATTATCAAAAGTGCATATTTTATAGAAAGGTCCTGGCATAAGTTCTTTTTAAGTACACATACCTGCACTGGGCTTGTGATAGGTGAGACAGCTAGGATCACTTATAAGATGAATCATAGTCACCAACAACTCAGTCACTGACACTGGCTCTGAAAACAGGATAATCATCATTTAGAGGGAAGCAGGCAGGTTTTGTTACTTACCCATGTTGAATGTTAAAGTAAAAGTTAGCGAGAGAACTAGTCACAGTGACAGGACATTAATTCTAAGCAAAAACAATTCAAAATGCAGCTTCATAATTATACTTTGATCATTAAATTTTCACTAAATCTGAACAATTATCCATCACACAAACTAACTAACCACAATTATATTGAAAATATTTTAATGTTGAGTTGGGTAATATCAGTAAAAATATTCACAGGTTCCAAAAGGTAGAAATTAGCCTACTGTCTGAAATAATATCATCCTAATACCAATGAATAAGAAAAGTAAGATATTATTCTTACTTCATGTTACATAAGTATAAAATCATTTTTCAAGTGAGTAAAAAAAAAAAATGAAAAAACCTATTTCATCACATTTCAAACTGTTGTCTTGCTGGCTTACTTCTAGGGCTGGCCTTCACCTGTGACCTTACCTTCTCTGTCTTTTAGTCGAACAGGAAAGAAATCCCTTCCCTTGGAATGTTGCAGTAGTTTGCCCACCAAGTGCATGGAATGCATGAAATGAATGTACTCTAGTTCTGGTCCTACATAGTGCATTCTCTGGGCATCACCTGGGGGATAGGAAGATATATGTATATTGATTATAGAGAGGATGTGCTTTCATATATGTATATCATATAATTCTGTTATGTACAATATAAGCTTCCCGCGCCCATTAAAGATGAAACAAAGAACTTCAAATAAACTGGTAGAGAAAAGTACTATATAGTTAACTGTTTCTAACAAGATAAAATGTTTGAGACGTGATATTTATGCTACAATTCTGAGTTCAATTTTAATTACTAACAATAATAAGCAAATACTTATAAACAATGAAGAGAACCTACATATACAAACTTCTGTGTTAAATAATTACATCACTTGATCAAATGACACTCTTACTATGAGATACTCACTGAAGGACTCTCTAGACAGAGCATCTGATATATCACTCAGCAGATCAAGAGGAATTTTTCTGGCTGAAGCAAACTCCATACACTGCCGCACTGCAATGTCCACCTAAAAAAATAAATTTCAAAATTATAATTTGAAGATCAACAAAGAAAAACAAAAGAAAAGGTTTTCCCAATATCAATAAAAAAGACAAAAAAAATCATAGTGTGAAATAGATTTTCATTGCCTCTAGTTTTATGATCCTTAACCTTTTTAAAATATCAAGCAATTTCCTATCAAATCATTGTTCAAGAAACCATGATCAGGCATAATGATGCATAAATTAATGAAACCTTAAAAAAAAAACAAACAATCACAATCACTCTAAACAATGTAAATATTTAGAATCTATTGCAGCACTTACAATTTTCCTATGTTTTTTCTATTGCAGCACTTACAATTTTCCTATGTTTTTCCAGTCCACTCAGGACATGTGTGCGACTGAAGCCTCCATGCTGGAAAGCAACGACACAAAAATATAAATTGAAAATCTTCACAGTGCTTAAATTGGCTTCTAGGCATGTAAACTCCTTTTGTCACATTAAATTACACATTGCTGCTTACACTGGCATATACAACTTTACTGACTACTGAAAAAGAGATTTTTATTAAGAATTTTAGAGTTGTTTTGTAATTTTTCTGAATAATTAAATTATACCAAAAAAAAAAAGAAATTGTGCTATGCAATGAACATACTAAATAAGTGCTAAACATTTCCAGCATAACCATTTTGTATTTTAAAGCTGTTTGGCTAAAATCATGATTTAATGCCAAAATGAAGTATTATGCATTTGGTTGTTTTACATTATTTTGTGTTAAACATATATAAATATGTACATTATTTGTCCCAGCTGGCCTTTAAAAGTCTGCACAAACTCCAATGCAGGCTTCCTAAAACAACTGGTGTTTACTATTTCTGCCTGTTGTCTTCACAACATGCCACAGTTAAACATGTAGTTTATAAACAGCAGGCAGATGAATTCAGATCTTTAACTTGATATATTCTATGTACTATCAGCAGAACATGTATGACTTTATGTGAAATTCTAAAGTTTCTCATACTCCAGATCATTTAAAACTGACTACCATATAATGATGATAAATATAAACTAATGTGCATACTGAGTAGCTTAATGATTTACTGTGAAATCTCTCTCTCTCTCTCTCTCTCTTTCTCTTACACATTCACACACTCACTTACACACATCTGTATAATGAATCTTTTTGATGCATAAAGTTATGGTACATAACCACAATTTAGCCATATCAAAAATTAAATATTCTACGTATACTCTATCTCCTCACCATCCACTTGGTAAACCAGCTTGCTTTAGGGTCCAGTAAGGCCAAGAAGTGGACAGGGGTCATCTGCACTGCCCCTCCCACAGGTGCAGAGTAACTGATGGCCAGCAGGGAGAGGGTACTCTCCACCAAACTCTCCAGGAACCTGTCTGAGTACCTGATCCAGAACACACAGATCTGGTTCTGGAACTCATTCATCAGGCGAAACTGGAAATACAATAGAAAACTGACTGATTGATTGGTCGATTAGTTGATCAATTGATTGATTGACTGATGCAAAAATTTTATTAAAATGCAGGATATTCTGGAGACATGTAATTATTAGTATAAGAAATTCATTTTGTAATATTAATGTATGATTCCTATAAACAATTAACAAGCACATTTAAACAAATTTGTTTCACAGGAAAAAACTGAAAATACAATACCTGTAATTTAAGTAATAAATGCAAATTGCCAATCACTGTGTATTTTTATAAATGGTGGCAAGAAAGCATTTTTAAAAACCTCCACACAGTAAATAGAGATTTAAGTCTTTGGGCATTCACATTTTTTACAGTGACCACAATTTCTTGCAGTCAGAAAGATATCTGGAAGTGTAACAGCTGGCCTTTAAAAGTCTGCACACACTTCAATGCAGGCTTCCTAAAACAACTGACAATTACTGTGATTGCCTGCTACTGGCGCAATATGTCATTGGCACGACATATTGAATGTAAGTGTATGCAGGCAACATTTTCAGCAGTTAGTAGACTTCCAATGTTTATGTACTTATGATAACCATTCAGGTTAACAGTTGAGGATTACAACAGTATTTCTACTGTAATATGACAAGTGGCATAAATACTGGAAACAGTGTATGTAAAATATATGGGTAACATGTCATCAGCACAGATTCTTCTAAATATAATAATAATGGACACAAGCTGAACTTACTGCTTTGAGGAGAGCAATATTTTCCTGCTTCCTGCAGTCCAAGCCATGTTTTATTTTAGGCACAGGACTGTTTCTGGACTGGAACTGTGTCATCAAGTGCTCAGCTGAAATAATAACACGTCAACAATGTGAGGCAGCATAAAAATATTCTTGACAACTGTGTTGTACTCATTGGAATTTTGAAATTTTCAGAATAAATACTTATTCTTTTAATATGAAGAGATATTTACAAAATTTTTAATTTTGTTTTTTTTTATATTCTAAGTACTAAATAATAAAAAAAAATAAGTTATTTAATCATTTTCACTTTGAAATTTGCAAAGAGAAATGTGCAAAATGATTCAAACTTACTAAGCAAAGCATAAACATCTTTCATCACATGGGGGGTAGAATTCAAATTTCTGGCAACAAATTTTAGGCCTTTATTCTGGAAAAGAAAGAATTACTTAAGACACATGAAAATATAATTAGCAAGACATCCTCATATAAAAAATAAACACAAGTGTGCTCAAAGGAATATAATTATGCAATTATAGAAATCCTGGGTTTCAGTTTGCCAAAGTCAATGTGTGATTTATAGTGGTCCCACTGTGGTTTCCTTTGAAAAGAAATATGAATAGCATATCATAATTACATGCTCTGTAGAGAAATTATTCCATTAAATTAAGTCTGGTTGTACAACTGAACTATATAAGTCCCTACAAATCCACAGTCAGGTATAAAGCTGCTTATCAGATCTAAGATGGGCGTTTAAATATAAACAAAGATATAAACACACACACATAAGGACACACCAGTAGACATCCTCACTCTCTAACTTTCTCTCTCTCTCTCCCCAAACACACTCTCTCAATGACACACATACACACCAGTAGATCCTGGTCCATATCAGAGAGTGCATCCAGCAGTCCCTTCCTGAGGGCACTCCACAACTGGTCAGATTGCGTGGCCTCAGTGGATGGATTCTGGAGTAATGTCTGCAGGGCTGACCGACGAGTCTGGAACAGAATAAGAACACAAATTAAGGCTGTAAAAATATAAAAATTTCAGTAAAAAAGTAAATTTTAAAAAAATTCTCAAAAGAGGGAAAAAACGATAAAACCAATTCAGGTGCTTCAATGTTCTGATATGTATCTGGTTAGTTGGCGAATGTTTAATCTGAATTCTGTAATTACAATATACCTGTACCTACCTCCAGTGGGTTTCTTTTATCTAAATTTTCAGCTAATTCCTGGCCTTTCTCTTCATTTAAAAACATAATTCCCTGCAATGTAGGATATAAGATAATATTGTTCCTGTACCTTTTAGATTTGATGCTAGCTTATACCAAAAACTCTTTATAAAACAGTTTCTGTAGGGTCAAATTCTATTTGATACACTATTTATCACAGGTTTCCAGTAATAATAATACAACATTTGTTTTCACATTTATCTTCATTTTGTCTTCACACTTATTTTCACATCTACCTTCACATTTAGCTTCACATCTACCTTCACAATTATCTCACCTGATTAAATGAGCTCCCAAAGGAGGAGTCCCCATCACTAAACAAATAATGTCTCCTCTGATGTTTCTCCTCCCCTGACATACTCCTCTGTCCCAGACCAAACTCCTCCTCAAAATTGGACATCAGTGTGTCCACTGCCTCGCCAACTTTTTGACGTAAAAGTTTTGAAAGCGAGCCAAACTCCTTGGAGTTGATGACCTTTTCTGTGATCACAGACACCATGGTTTCTTGGTCTGAGAGAGCAGTGTCGTCCAGACCCTGAGAATGTTTCTCCAGTTCTTCATCGATTAGGTTTCCCAGGTACTCATCTAACTTGCCTTTGATTGTGCGCACAAAAGGGTACCTGCATGAGTTAAAGACACATAATATCCTGGCATGTGCAACTTGATAAAAAAACATACAATTAAATATCCCATAAATGCTTTCAGTTTCTTTAACTTTTATATATAGATCTACTGTAACAGTTCATTATCAACTTTAAAAAATCTTACATGAAAAATAGCATTAAATGACTGCTTTCAATACCTAAAAACAATTTTCTGATTCTACATCGCCCCCCCCCCCCCCCAAAAAAAAAAAAAAAAAAAAAGGAAAGAAAACTTATCCTTAATTTGATGGCTGAATTTGTCACCGAAGTGGGATACCTACTTGTGAAAATTTTCATCCTGTTCCTCCAGGTGCCTCATCATGTCCTCTACTTGCTCCAGCGAGGTGGCCGCACGGATCCTGGGCTCACAGCTGATCAGCAGCTGACGAATATCCTGACACAATGTCTCCTGGTCCATGATTGGTTGGTTTTGAAACTGCAATTAGAACAAGTACTGCCTGTCCCAGACCTTATATAACCTGTGTTGGGAATTGCTCATTTTAAAAGGCGAGAAGACGAAGAAGAAGACTTCAACTACGACTTCTAAATCTGCTTGGCTGCGCCGCAGATGATAATGATTGATAATGATGACAAGAAGTTTTCTAGAAATATGCACTAAATATATCGTTATGCAGTGGATAAACCACCTTTCATAATCATCAAAAAACATCGCATCACTCAAAACGCCGTTTAAAGAACTTAGTTATTTTTCTAAAATCGCGTGATGTTCGCTCACTTTACAAGTACAAGCAACTGCATCCACCTGATTCAGTAACTGCAACAAAGAGTTCCTTACCTGTGTGATTTAAATACTCATGCAATTTTCTTTAAGCACATCTTCATTGCAAATGATGCAAGGAAAGTGAGACGTGGATTCTAAACAATTCAAACAGCCTCTCCCAAACCTTGCATGCCTTAACTAACTAGAAAATTTTTCCAAACTTGCTCGTGTTTACGTTCCGCCATTTTGGAGTTGCTATCGTAAAAACGGAAGAACTTGCTCCCGATGTGTCTGTTGGACTGGCCAAGACGATACTAAGATTCAATTCTTTGTATTTTAAAAGCGATCGATGGTCTTGTCAGACTCCTGGAAGTCACTACAAAGCATTTAGGCTGATCAAAATGATACTATGATTTCTTAGTGGAAACATTTTAAATTGGTTTTCCTACAAATTTAAAATGAATTCATAACAAAACTTTGTATTTTGACAAAAGATAAATAAATAAGCGCGTTTATTAAGGGGGGGGGGGTTGGTAAGATTCTTATTTCCTTTGTTAATTATTAATTTTAAAAAGAGAGTGATTTGATGAAAAATGATGTGCTTGTTGGAGTTTTTACTGTTATAAACTTGAAATAAACTTAAATAACTTGAAAGGATAACCTTCAATTTGTACAATATCAGTTGTGGGGTTTTCTTTCTTTCTTTCTTTCTTTAATCTTTCGCATTTTTTTCCAAATATTACGCTATTTACATATTTTAATATGTTAAAATAAGCATGATCAAAGAACGTTGATTTAGACCACTTGTCTTTACTTTAAAAAACTGTTGTAATCATTATTTTCCATAGTCAGTGAAATTATAGAATAGATCTATAGCCTTCGACAGTTCTAAATATGGGCGCCTAGTATTTTTAATTTAAATCTGTCATTTTAACTTTTATCAACGTTAACCTTTATAAACACATTTCTCTGTCAGTTAAGTCCATAGAATTATTGTTTTGATTGCGGTTGTTCTATTTCTATCCCGACCCTACACAGATCCCAATATAAACACCGTCTTTACATTTCACAATGAGATTTCATGTAACAGGAGAATTATGCGCTTCCGATTTCTCACCTTACCTTCATTAAGTCAACAACATGCTGTTTATTGTTGACCCGGTATTGAAAGAACGCGCTGAATTACGCTATTACTCAAACCTCACTGTATCTGTGAGCCTGCTCACACAATGGACACTTGGCAACAAGGACGCCGGGCGCTGTTTGTAAATAGGCTATCCATTATTAAGGAATGTATAAGCTACTTGCTGTGATTTCATTCAAACGCTGTAGTACTACGGACACTAGAATGATACTGATCGATATACCCTGATAGTTTATTTCAAAATAGTCTTCATTGGCAACGCTGTTATACGAGGGATCTTGATGATTGAAATGTTCGATCATGAGTTGATTGAGAAATGATGACGGTCCGGTGTATTTATTCCATATTAAAGATAATTATGTTCTAAATAGGTACAAGAGTGTTTGGAGGATCAGGGATTAAGTTGTGCCAAGGGCCACAGGACAGAGATACACGGAAGCAGGTAAGAAACGCCATTTAAATAAGCCCCTATCAGAAACCTACAGTTATTGAACGAATGTGCTTAATTATAAGCACCCTCATAGTAGGGCCATCTTGACCTCTAAAGAAACTAAAATATTCTTGAGAAGAGGCCAGTAACAGATATAACATAATCTCTCTCTCTCTCTCTCTCTCTCTCTCTCTCTCTCTCTTTTACGCGCGTGTCCACTAGCAGGACACAGGTATACAGTGTGTCTTTCACCAGGTCCCCATAATATACAGCTAGCGTGCATTGGTATGTTTCTTTTTTTACCATCATTAATGGTATATGAGAGATAGATAGATACAGAAGGTGGGGGACTGCTAAACAAACTAGGCTATCATCAGGGAATACTTATATTGTATAATTATAATCCGCAAGCGCCACTAGAAAGTCCACCATTAGCAAACACACATTTACGATATGTGTCCTTTATTAAATATAGTCGAGATAGATTTTCCTCTACAATCTCACCTAAACTTGATACTGATATGTAAAAGTAGGCCATGTCCTTTCGTGTCTATGCAAAAGTCTTGTTAAAGTGAATAGGCATTGTGATGACGCTCTGCAGACGGTTAACGAAGCTCAAAGCTTCGAGGTTCTTTTTTGGTAGTCAGTATTCATGGGATTTAAACCGTCTGTAACAATAATTATTCATTAAATCTAAGGCAGTGTCATGCCTCTGCATATAAGGCTACCATAAATACTATTTCAATTCGCATGGGAAGACCTGAATCGTGCAATTTGGGTTAAATCAAAGTTCATCACGCTTCCAGTGCTTCTGCTACAAGTATAGTATCACCGCACACACACACACCCACACACACACACACACACACACACACACACACACACACACGGGTGGGGTATAAAAAATAATTCTTAAAAGAAAATACACAGATGTCAATATTTGACAACAAACAGACTAGTGTACTTTTATAATGGCACATTTAAAAGTTTGAAAAGAAAATTACGTCTCTCTATTCTAAGTGTAATTATAAAGTACGAGATAAATAGGACCTTTACTTCTTTACAGTAAAAAAAATAATTAAGTCATTCCATTCTACAGAGAGCCAGCATGGGATGTGGTGCTTCAAAAGATCCAGCAATAACTGAAAAGGAGATCAAGACAAAGGATAGTCAAGAAAATGGCCATGTTGTATCAGCCGACATAGATATCACTCCAGGGAAAAAGGCAGACGACATAGAGCCAGTTCCGCCATCTTGCAGCAAAAAACAATATCTTTCTTCTAAAAACTTTGACGAAATAGACAACCATGCAATAAATGTAAGTAAACAGTTCACATCGATTTACTTTTGATCAAACTGATTAAATTGATTAAATTCATCAATTTCTTTTTTTTTTTTTTTCAAATTATTCCCTATGGAATTCTATATCTAATTCAGCTTAAACAGTAGCACAACATTTGCAGCATGAATAATCCACATAACAGGTTTGTTGGCATTTAAAACAATTGCATCTTTATTTTAGACACCATCGTCCGAAACGTCCTCTCTTCAGAACTTAGTAAACCATCTCCTCCGGCCATGTAGGTCCGACCTGGACAGAGTCCGAGTCTTCTTCCGCTGGATAACTCATAACATACGGTAAGCCAAGGCGAAATTAATAAATTGGTTAACGAGAATAATCAATATTTGTAATCATATATTTTTCTCATCTTTCTTTAAAATCTTTTATTTATTTATTTAAAATGAAATAAACTGCACTGGGCATTGGTTTGGTAAGTGGGAATTCGAAATTTTACTATTGACCCCCGGTAAAATCTTGATGCTTTATGCTCAAAAAGCGGTCAACATTCTTCGGTTATGTTCGACGTGCAGCACACATATTCTGACTGCAGTTTGTCTAATGAAGCCAGGCACGTAGATGGGGGTGGGGGGTGGAGGTTCGAACGAGCCGCCATTTTTTCCGCTCTAGATAAAATGTGATCTAGGTATACAAAGGTTTCATGGTGAAAGGTCCACTGTTTCAGAAAAAGACCCCCCCCCTCCCTGTAAAATTCCTGACTATATAGGGGTTCTTGTGTGACAACATGTTATTGATATATATATCTTTCATCTTTACAGATACGATCTGGAAAACTTCCTAGCTGGAAATCCTACTTCTATTAGCAGTGAATGTGAAGATGTTCTACGAAGTCGGAAGGCCTCTTGTGATGGGTACAGCAACTTGTTTCTACAGATGTGCAAGTAAGCTGTTCAGTTTTGGAATGTTTTTTTTTTCTTTTAGTTTTGCCTTTATTTTTCAAAATCATGAATTTCCTCCGACTTCATTCTGTTTGATTCAGTTGGTACGTTCATGCTATAGGAGAAGTTCACAAGACGTTATGTACTTGGGTATAGAAGTCTTCTGAAAATTAAAATGACAGTAAAAAAAAAAAGGCCAATGTCAAGTTTCTGTCCGTGACATTTTGTATTTCCGTTTTCCTATTTATAAAATTATGACTGGCTTTTCTACCAAAGGCTAAGCGGAATACAGGCCAAGAAGATCCGTGGATATAGCAAGGGCTATGGCTACATTCCTGGACAGTCTTTTCAAGGGAAGGACAGTGACCACGCTTGGAACGCTGTGTTCCTGGAAAACACCTGGCGTCTAATCGATTGCACGTGGGGCACGGGGCATGTGACGCAAGATAAACAGTTCAAGGTACGATGACATGATGTGATTTTACAAAAAGAACCCAGTTTTACAAATAATTACTTTTACCATGTTTTTTTATTCCAAAGCTTTACCAACTAAAAATATGAACTTAAAATATGTAAATATTTTTGAAGTGGTAGTTTTTACTGTTCATCATATAAAATTGTCCACTGTCAGACTCGAGATTTAAAAAGAGGGGCAGGAGCTTCTGGAGACAAAATGACACTGAATCTGCCATCTAATTTTAGAAAAAGTAGGAGAGAAACAGCCCCTTTGGTTCACCCACATCACCGACTACCAAAATCATTGTCCACAGAAAAAATATATACACCGTCAATGGAACCATCAAAGAATATTAAATTATTCTATTTTATTTTTCTAGCTTCGATATTAAACTTTGGAACCAAAAATTGAGACATCAAAATGACTAAACGCTGCACTTTCGTTTCAGTTCGTCCTAGAAGACTTTTGGTTTTTAACGGACCCCGAAGAACTGATATATTCTCACTTTCCACTAGAAGCCACAGACAGCTCGTGCAGTCCAAACGCTTGGCAGTTGACCAAGACGCCAAGATCTCTGCACGAGTTTGAAGGGACCGTCTCCCCACAGCCCGAGTTCTTCACCATGGGGCTGTCTCCCCGCAAATTGTCGCATCAAAATGGTCATTTAAAGTTCATTAACGACATAGAGATCAAAATCACATCCCCGAAGTCATTGAGTTTTAGTGGTCAGCTGAATGACATGCAATCTGGACAGAACAATGACCGGTACTGCCTTGTCCACAGAGAACAGCAGAAAGACTCTTCTGTGGATTTGGTAGTCTTCCAGATCATCCCTCCCTGTCCAGGGGTGTATCTTTTGACAATTCACGGGTTTAATACTACTGAATCAGAGCAGTCAGGAACTTCCATGGGATACAGACTGTTAGACTATGTCATTGACTGTTCATCGGTGGAAAATCTCCCAAGAGCGATGCCGTCCTCGGTGCTGTGGGGGTTACTCCCCCTTGGAACGGAGCTTGGTTTGTCTAGTGAAATAGGGCCGAAAGTGTCGGCCGAGAACGGACAGGCCTCACTGGAATTCAAAGCTACCAAACCGGTAGACGTTTATGGCCGTCTGACTACAGCAGACGACAGGGAACTTCCTGAAAACCTTATTCTAAAACAACAGCAGGGAGAGAATCTAGTTTTCAACACAAGCCTGCCAGAAATTGGAAACTTCAAATTTACTCTATATGGTGCTAAATCAACAAACTCTACCAACAAAGAAAAGGTATATTTTCAAATTGCGGACTACCTCATTCAATGTGACAATCACGCAGCCGATCCGGTCGTATTCCCAGATATCAACTCTTCCGTATTTGGACCAGATTGCCATTTAATCTCGCCGGTCACGGGCAAACTTCCAAATAATCAAGATGTTGAATTCAAGGTGTATATCCCAGGTGTTGCGTCTGTGGCCGTTCAAAGTTTTGGCGAAGATAATAATTTTGTCCACACTTTACTTGACCAGGACGGCTCCACGTGGTCGAAGATGATTAATACGGGGACACTTGGCGAGAGAGTGTACTTGAGCGTGTGTCACGAGACAGGGGGAACAGAATACGATGTTGCAATAGAATTCACCGTGGAGTGATAGTTTGTCAAGATGCACTACAGTTAGTTTACAGGGGGCGGATTTAGGCCGTCTTCTGGAGTCTTCCGGAAGACGGTCAGATTTCCAAGTTAACATTGACGGGTATTTGATTTTTTTCTGTCGGAAGACGGTCAAAAATGGAAGATGGATCGACAAAGATAATCCGGAAGACTGTCAGAAAATAATATATCTCTGGATCCGCCCCATATTAGTGACAACATATAAGCATGAGTGTCATATCAAAACGTTTTAAGGGATTACAGAATATTAAAGGATTTTATCGATTTTGAAGATTTTTTTATTCGTCAAGTGTATACAATTATGAATGCATGTGACTCTGATCTATATGAATATGAAGAGCTAGCTAGGGTCATATTTAGTGTACGCTAGTTTTTGTATTGACGTGTTGGCTGTGCTATTTAAGGCAGCCGTGGGGTAGGGTCGGGGCGGGGGGGGGGGGGGGGTAAAAAAGTAATCTATCTAGGAATATATATATATATATCATGAACATCGTGAACATGATGAACCATGGTCGGGGACTGGGGTTGCGCGGGGTGAAATAAGGTACCCGGATTATCAAGTGCAATTATATATAAATATATATATGTAGTCCTATGTATGTACAGCTAAACTTATGGTCGGCCAAAAGGGCAAAAAATTCAGTCACGTTTCGTCGATTCACTGCCTTTCCATCGATTCAGTTTCAAGTTTAAACGAGCTTATCATAAATTCATCATCTATTTTCGTCAATTAAATTGCCAAACATTTTTTCATCTACGGTGTATTAAAACCTATTCTCTCGCTATTTTCGTCAATCGTGTAACCATTTTCGTCGATCCTGTCACGTCGCTTCATCATTTGTCGATCGATCGCCAGAGAGCGATGCGGTAGGAATTTTTGCCCTTTTGGCCCCCATACTAACTGGCCCTCCCTGGGAGAAAGTAAAAAGTTTCTATTTTATCTGTAGCTTTACCAACGAAGCTTCTGTGGCTCCGTGGTAATTTTGAAGTCTTGGCCGCAGCCAGACGATTATAAGCGGGTTCAAATCCAAAGATGTATAATTTCATTTTTTTTTTTTGACTTGAAATAATTTCTAAAAATCGCGTTTGACTACCATAAGAGAAATGGCGGGTCACTCGCGTACGTACAGAGGATGGGGGGGTCACTCGCGGTCACTCGTCGGTAGCGTGCTCGGTTGCAAAGAATACCAAACCAACAGCACACAATGGTAACAGCAAGTCACCAGTTCATCACAACAACGAGCTGACCCCGCAATCAAAAACGAATGCAGGCTCTCGTGTGCCCAAGTACATTACCTTTTGCATAAAATTCAGGTTCTCAGACACGGTTTAGTGAAAATCATGAACATCATGCACAAGATGCACCATGGTCGGAGACTGGGGTTGCGCAGGGTGAAATAAGGTACACCCGAATTATCGAGTGCAAGAATATTTCCTTTCTCTTCGCCTAAAGTTCCTTAAAATGGTGCTGACGAGGGAATGGTCGTTCATCTCTATCTTTTTTACAGGTAAGACACAGATAAAACGTGAATTGAGCTATAGCTAACCCCGTATGGGGCCTTGCCTGCCATACTGCAATTTCATCAAAATGGGCTATTTTCTCGGTGGGATTATCAGAGAAAAAAGTTTAATATTTTTTTATCAAAGTCGCGTTCATACAGTACCCGGGGCAACATGAAGAACCATGGTCGGGGACTGTGGTTGCGCAGGATGAAATAGGGCACACGGATTATCGATTGCAATATATATACATGTACATGGCAGATATATACATGTACATAATAACTGGTCCTCTCCCTTCCAATGTAGAAAGTTTTCATTTGATCCGCCATCCAACAACGAAGCTTTCGTGGCTACGTGGTAACTCCGTTTCCTCCTTCACGAGCAAACGCTTAGTAGTACGCGGGTTCGAGTACCAGCTCGTTGAACGTAACTTTTTTGTCCTAGAAATTATCTGGAAAGTTTGCTTTTGATTACTATAAGAGGAAACGCGTACGTACGGAGGGTGAGCGGGTCAGTCACGGTATCCGCTTTTTAGCGCTTCGCTAAAACTAAAACCCGCCTGCTGTGAGCGCCATTTGAACCCCTTGTACTCTTCGGTGACACTGGTAAAGACAAGCTAAATCTGGGTATACATCAAACTCCTAATTTAAAAAAAAGTCAGCCCTGTAAGAATTCTTCGTGTCGGGTTCTCAGACACAGCTTATTGCACCATGGTCGGGGACTAGGGTTGAGCGGTATGAAATAGGGCAACAGGATTATCGATTGCAATAGCAGATATATACATGTACGTCCAATCTGGTCCTCTCCCTGACAAGATTGAAAGTTTCCATTTGATTCACCAACTACCAACGAAGCCTCCGTGGCTCCGTGGTAACTCCGTTTCCTTGTACATGAGAAAACGTTTGTACGCGGGTTCGAATACCAGCTCGTCGAACGTAACTTTTTTTTGTCCAAGAATGAATCTGGAAAATTTGCTTTTGATTACTATAAGAGGAAACGCGTACGTACGGAGGGTGGGCGGCTCAGTCACGGTGCAGTCGGTAGCGTGCATGGTTGCAAAAAAAGACAATACAAAGCGTCACCAACCATGGTAACGAGAAGTCACGAGTTCGAATCCCGGATGAGGCACGTCAGCTCATCACGACAACGACCTTGCCCCTCGATCGGGCAGTCACCAGAACGAATGCGCTCTCTCGTGGGTCCTAGCATATTACCTTTTGCACAATAAAACCATATACTTTTGATTGAGTGACTGCAGACTGTTCATATGTTCATAGAGTACCCGGGGCAACTCTACAGTCAACATTGAATAAGTNGGCCTACTCTTCGGTGACACTGGTAAAGACAAGCTAAATCTGGGTATACATCAAACTCCTAATTTAAAAAAAGTCAGCCCTGTAAGAATTCTTCGTGTCGGGTTCTCAGACACAGCTTATTGCACCATGGTCGGGGACTAGGGTTGAGCGGTATGAAAGAGGGCAACAGGATTATCGATTGCAATAGCAGAGATATACATGTACGTCCAATCTGGTCCTCTCCCTGACAAGATAGAAAGTTTCCATTTGATTCATCACCTACCATCGAAGGCTCCGTGGCTCCGTGGTAACTCCGTTTCCTTGTACATGAGAAAACGTTAGTACGCGGGTTCGAGTACCAGCTCGTCGAACGTAACTTTTTTTTGTCCTAGAATTAATCTGGAAAATTTGCTTTTGATTACTATAAGAGGAAACGCGTACGTACGGAGGGTGGGCGGCTCAGTCACGGTGCAGTCGGTAGCGTGCATGGATGCAAAAAAAGACAATACAAAGCGTCACCAACCATGGTAACGAGAAGTCACGAGTTCGAATCCCGGATGAGGCACATCAGCTCATCACGACAACGACCTTGCCCCTCGATCGGGCAGTCACCAGAACGAATGCGCTCTCTCGTGGGTCCTAGCAAATTACCTTTTGCACAATAAAACCATATACTTTTGATTGAGTGACTGCAGACTGTTCATATGTTCATAGAGTACCCGGGGCAACTCCACAGTCAACATTGAATGAGTGAAGACTACTCAAATCTGAAACCGCCAAGGTGTGAACAGCTGTGCATCTCATCGTGCTATATAACGTCAAAGGTGAAACCAAACGTTATCTCAGTGCGAAATAAAATGAAAATATAAACATCTGAACTCATGTAACTAGGAACGTTCCGAGCGAAATAGCAATGAAACCGATCGAACTTGAATTGATTCAGTAGCTTCAGGTATAACACCACGTCATACCACCTGTTAACCGCGCTCAGCAGGGAAAAAAATGACATCTTCTATGCGGAATTATTTGACAGATATGTTTTACTCGAAATTCGCATCGCCGCAATTGCTTGTATGGAAAACGCACCAGTTTTTGTACATTTTAACGTTTTTTTTTTACGGTATCCGCTTCTTAAGGCCTCTTGATATGTCCAAGTTTGTACTGAAAGCCATGCGATGACCCTCTGTCAATCTCAGAATAAGGGTTTAGCAGGGCAGCATGAGCGTCACACGGAGAATAGCAATATTATTGCTGTATGCTTTGATGGAAATACAATAGAATTTTTAAATAAAAAAATTAGAATAATTCTTAGGTAATTCCAGGGTCCAGAATTTTTTGAAGGAGGGGAGGGGTGTTTTAGGGATTGGCATGTGAATTGTATACTGGTTTTCGAAATCTGTTGAGAGCAGTATTTTGGACAATTGTTATATTTCTCAAAGTCGTTTTGTTCAATTGTTCAAATTGTTGCGCCCTAAAATGCTCTATTAATCGACGGTTCTGTAGTGTAGTGGCGATCACGTCAGCTTTACACGCTGAAGGTCCCAGGTTCGAGACCTGGCAGAGCCAACGTTTTGGACAATTGCTACTCGTGTCTTTATAATGATCAGTCGAGCTTGGCAGTGTCGTTTATATACGTACCCACTTACCACAGTCATTGTTGATAAGCACTAAACTGTATGTCAAAAAAAAGCAATTGAACTAATCAACTAATAATTGTAAAAAAAAATGTGTTTTCACCTAATCTGATTCCAGCCGAATATAACGATTCATAACACTAACGAATGTCATTTCTTTTTTTCCATTCAGTAGGACGAGCGACCTTCACTTTGGACTAGATAAATACTCCCAGATTAGGGCCCCTTTACACTGGACGGCGTCCTTTCTGCGTCCCTTCTGCGTTCAAAAATGTGGTCAGGACGCTCAACGGTCGCCAAAGCAATCAAATCGTGTCTCAGTGTAAAGGCGTCTGCGTCCCTTGTGCGTCCTTTGAACGACCGTATCTTGATTTTACCTGTAAAACTGCGAGCAACCTGCCTGCCTCCACTGTACGTCCCCTGTGCAACCCAAGGCGTCCATTGCGATGTTTTAGAGACCATTGAGCATTCTTGCTGCGTTCTCTGTACCTTCATCGGCGATTATAGTGGCGTCTATTCTACGATCATTCTGCATCCTGCTTGACCGATGAGCGTTATTTGGGCGTCCTTCTCTATATTCTAACTCATCTTTTCATCGGTTCTAACCAGGTCATCCAATAAAGAACATTTCCAGCACACAAAACAAATAAATGGGAATAAACGCTTTAAACTATAGTGATGCAAGGTCTGCATGGACTGATAATCAGCCAGATGCTCATTGTTATCCTTATAAGAAGGATGGACAGGGACCGAAAACGAGAAAGTATGACTGACACAACATAGAATGTTTGAATCCGTTTTCAAATGAAGCATTCTGCAAAAAGTTCTGACAATTAATCTTGTAAAAAAGGCAAAATATTCGTCTAATAATAACCTTAAAAAAATGGATCGTTTCATGAATTTTAGGGGAAAAAACAATCGGAGGCTGATATGAGACCACTGTTACCCTTAGAATTCCTGTCTGGTGAAAAATACCTCAGCACGGCCCCGTTTGAGAGTGAAAAAAATAACTTTCTACGTGTCGAACAATGGACGATCTTTAAGTTTTCATTCTGCAACCAAAGCGATGCTTGTGCGTCCTCTCTACGACCGCGGCGATGCGTGTGCGTTCTCTCTGCGACTACGGCGATGCCCGTGCGTCCTTTCTGCGTCCATTGAGCGACCATCCTACATCGCGTTCTCTCTGCGATTGTTTTGAACATGCTCAAAACTTCGCGGCGTCCATGGCGTCCTCGGCGATGCTTGAACGTTCTTTGTGCGACCTTGGCGATCACTGTGCGTTCTTTGAGCGTCCGACGGCGTCCTGGCCAGTTTCATGGTCGCACAAAGGACGCAGAAAGGACGCCGTCCAGTGTAAAGGGGGTTTAAGAATCCTACTTGACTGAGGTGTAACTGTAAGCGCGAGGTCGGATTCAGAATTATTTGAAGGGGTGGTCGGGGCCTGCTGAAGGGCTTCGAAAATTTTGATGTTTTGGAAGACCAAATGGTGGCATTTGACACGGTTTAGAACTTATTATGACTCAGCTAGTCAGAATTCTAATAACAAGAGGGTTATATCGGTATGATTTTTTTTCAAAAACCGAAAGCGGGGTCTAGACCCTTAACTCCGCCTCTGAAACGACTCCTTATTTACCTTGGCCCTCACTTGTTGACTCGTTATAAAGCTCTGTTCAATAATTTTTTAGCATCATGAGGTTTATTTTTCTCTGCACATTAATTACACATTGCAAAGTTTATGTTTATCTCGTCTACCAATAGCAAGTGAATAGTGCTACGTAACGAACTGTTATTCACCATCATCTAAATACCTCTTGGGTATAATTTCTTCTTTTGAAATGTCTTAACTTCCACACGACAACGAGGAGTGATGTTAACGTTTATAATTCCCCCCAGAAACACCTTGTGGTAACAACGGTAGCTAAAAATCAGATGGATTTCACATTTTCAGTGTATCTGTGAAAGAGAAAGGTTGATAAAGGTTGAAGGTAGAAAAAAAAACAGACAATGGATTTGCAGATAATTATTGGTACGCGTGTCAGTTTTTCTCCATTCAAGGTTAAAAAAAGAATTCATTCTATCTGCTGGGTTTACTGCGACATATGCCATATTCAAACAATAGAGCCAGGTTGAAATGGTGGTTTATAATGACAGTTTGAAAAGGTGTATCGATTAAGGTGTGAAAGAAATAAAAAGTGGTTTAATGACTGTTAGCAAAGGTGTGTCGATTAAGGTGTGAAAGAATAAAAAGTGTCAGTTAATTTATTCTCATTATTTAGATATAGGCCACGTGTGCCATGACAAGTTGTGAGCATGCGCACACCAATTCTATTGATCATTTTAAACCCACTCCCTGCGATAAAGCGAGTCAGTTTAACAGTTTTGTTAGACAGAGGTCCAGCTAGGCGTATCTTCTTCTACCTGTTCCAAGGGGTTTTACCAGCTAAGGTAAATAGGCAGTTTTTTTCTTTAATTGGTTGTCGGAGAGAGGGGGGTTACCCGTACATGTACAGGTGGGAGAATTACGACATTCATGTACATGATTAATGTAAAGAGAAGAAAACACTTGAATTTGCTGAATTTCTGATTTTGATTTTTATTGGAAAGAAGAAAATATTGATATGAATCGGATAAAAACAGAAATAGGTAGATGGATTGTTCTCACATATAGTGAGCGAACTCTTGTCAGTATCAGTATGCTACGTGATCTCGAATCCCCCATTTTTCTTAGCATGGAGGCGCAGAAATCTTTGAGGCGGCAAGTTGGCCCATGTCGAATTTTTTTTGTACGGATTTTCCAAGCCTTGTCTGAAAATGTCTTTCTATTATTTACTCTGTGGGATTTGCATGATTGCGCTGGTTTGTCCACCCTACCAACTCTCAGTTGGTTCGTGTTCTGTGTAGTTTAGATAATCACCTTGGAATATAACTGGGTGGTTTCTATTTCGAAATGTTCAGATGAAAACAAATTCCGAGAATCCGAGGTATATCTAAATATCAATATTCCAAGATGTAGGATTCATTGTTTTTATCTGAAACAAGACCTTTTGAAATAAAGTTGATTGAAGTGATATCAAAACGGTTTTCTGAAGGGAAAAAATAGTTATTTTGAAAGAACAATCTTCATCGCTATTTTCTTTTTCATATCTTATCTGTACCGCTTAGAAAAGCATGAAATGTACTTGTCCTGCTAACATTTTTAACCTTCCTCTTTCACAGAATCAGCCATGCAAAGGTCTTCGCTATTCGCCCTGGCAATCCTTCTGCTGACGGTGTACCAGCTCAGCATGTTGTGCACTGTGGCTGAGGCCTGTTCCATGGACTCGCAGACCAACAAATGCGTCGGCTCGTGTACCGGGGGTAAAGAATGTCAGATGGCCTCGGCTTCCTACTCCAACGGGCAGTGGACATACAGATGCGAGTGTATTTATGATTATTATTAACGGTCCTGAAACTTGTCGCTGAACCCGGGACGTCCACGTCAGCAGCCTTATGGCTGAACCCTTTATAATCCGATATAACCCTGTCACATATGATGTACATGTAAACTGTATTATTTACCCCTGAGTTTTCACATATACTTGGAGCAAATAAACAGAACCATAATGTGAAATTCTGTCTGACTGAGAGACATCAGAATGATCCTGAACCCGGGGCTTTCAGTTCTCACGAGAGCTGCAATCAGTGTATGAAGCTTGACGTTAATAAATGGTACAAGCATAAATATTGTGTTCAGTATTTTTAAATCATATCCTCATTTATGAGGCATGATAAAGATTATCAGTGAATAAATAGTTTGGTCACCTAGATAAGTGCAGTTTGAGCAACTTTTGGGAAACGAATTGAACAGGTATGGAATAAGGATGACGACAGATGGCGCCAGATATGGTTCTTGGTCTCATGTGCTCCGGTTAGCGTCTTGATCAGAACGCGCTCTCGTATAAAAATGTACAGCTTGAACTTATCTTAATGGCTTGTTGGCAACGTTATCAAAACAGATAATTTTGATCAGAACGCGCTCTCGTACGAAAGTACATGTATACAGCTTAAACTCATCTTATTGACTTGCTGGCAACATCATCAAAACAGAGAAAGTCTAAAAAAAGCATCAACAACGTTATAAGCAGATATCTTTTCTAGAGACTTTAGTATTTCATGTACCCTGTGGGCAACCGGCTGTTTTTACTAGTTTGGAAAGGTTTTACCCCACGAAACTCCCCCCCCCCCTCCCCTAGAAAATAAAAGAAGGCTCCTGATGATTCGCAATGACCGTCCATTGAACAGCTGGCGAAGTGTCACCACCAGTTTCCGTGTTTCTTTCGATAAAAAAAAACCCGATCACAATTTCCTGTATCATGTAATATTTCCTATAAAAATGAAACCAAAATGACAAGAAGGTGCTCTTTGGGGGGCATTAATGTAATTGATGCCTAGTCATAACTCTATAATCACCGAGTTAGCGAGATGTAGTTGGCATCATACACTAAAATAAATACTAATTTTTATCACTTACTGGAGTTATCACAGTTGTAACGATCGTGTAATATGCGATAATAAATGACAATATAGGCATTTCTGGGGGGTTTTGACGTTTTTATTACTGTCCAGGCCTTCCTAGGGCCCAAGCTTAAGAGCTTACGAAGGCATTATGGAGTACATTCGGGTGCTTGCGAGATGAAACTGGTATCACACACTTACATAAATGTTCATTAGAATAACTTACCAGAGTAATTTCCCCCGCTTACCTGTGTAATAAGCGATAATTATTAATAATAACGGGTTGAAATGAAAATGTTTAAGTTTTAACAACTGGTTGTGACTTAATAAGGCCGGAGTTGGGTATCCCAAGTGTCAGGACACTGTAAAGCTAGCTTGCTCACTATACCTTTTCATGTATTAGCTTTACAGTGCATATATAGGTTATATATGAAATCAAGATCAAGGTGGCAATACCGAAATCTAGGACCCAGGATAGAGTTGATCGCTTGCATCATAAACCTATTTGTCCCAGATATAATGGTTTTATTCTCCCCTTAATCAAGCACGAATATAGGTATCACGTAGAAAACCTATTATGGTTTCCAATAACAATGTGTTTTTTATAAGTATCACGTAGATTGAGGATTCCAATTAACATTGTTGCAAGTTAAAATTCTTTTAATTAAAATTGTCAAGCGTCGGTGAAAAAATGTTATTTTTATACACAAACACACACAAACAAACAAAATGAACGCGATGCCAATTCAATTTTTGTTGCAACTTCATACACTGTACATAGGGCCCTCCATAGTCTCATTGATTGTCAAGTCTCTGAAATACAAACGCTGCTGCAGCTGATTTTAAGCTTAAATATACGGAATTTAGCTCGACAGAACAAAATAAAAAGAAAGAAAAAAGGAAAATGGCGTCAATTTTCCCGCAGACTACAAGTTTTCTTTCTTTTGCGTCTTTTCTGATGGTATGGCATAGAAATTTCATTTGTCTTTTTTTCTGAGTGTTTTCATTAGTGAGCGTTGTACTCTAGGCAGCTGTAATACTTCTTCATTGGTCTTTATGCTGTCAAAATATATATATAAATAAATAAATAAAAAATAACAGCTGTATTCCTGTCCTATACTTTATCCTGGATTTTGTTGAAAATGTCCTATTTCGGTTCCATTTTAATTTACCACAATTTTCCTTTGTAGTTTTTTTTTTATTTACTATGTTGTGCTAACACCACCTGCGCTAAATAGATGGCTTATGTCACGTATACAACCATTCTTTTTTACAAAAAAAAAAAAGACAAAGTCGTATGTATTACTAGTTTGTTTTCAAAGCTACCAGCATTGAATTCTGCACCTCCATCCCGTACATAGGCTAAATATTGAATGATATTTTGCAAAAAATGAAAATGACAAGGTTATCATCTGAAGTCATTAAAAACAACGTATGGAAGGACAGAAACAATGTTTTAATGCTTGAAAGCGGTAAAATTATCAAAATCAAAAGGGCAAAAACTTTTTTTTTTAATTTCAAGCTGTAAAATAACAACATTAAAAGGCTAAACATCTGATCACTTCATTCGCTATAAAAAGCGTGACGCATAAGCTGGTAGAGGATAGAAAGAAGTATATGCTCTCAATGAACAGATAGGCCCTATAGCCTATACAAGTAGTCCAACGTCTTTCAGCAGACTTGCGGTGTGTGTGTGTGTGTGTGTGTGTGTGTGTGTGTGTGTGTGTGTGTGTGTTGGGGGGGGGGGGGAGGGCAATTCCCGAATTTAACTTAAATAAGGCGCAACTTTAAAGTTATTTTTGCCTGAAGGAGGATTAATTTGGTTTATAACTTGACATATCGACTTTATTTTAGTCGTACAAGAAACTAATAGAAGTGAAGAATAAAAGTCGCTTTAATCAGAACTTTTATAAAATGAGTATATAACGTTGAATTGTCGTACAAACAAACAGCATCTGATGTTTCTTTAAATATTGAAATATTATTAAACTGTTTCGTTTTGACTAGATTCTTGCTGAAAACGCCTTAATCTGATCAGCAACAACGTCGATCTGGTTAGCGGTAAACAAACATTGAGTTGGGCTTGTCTTGGGATATGGTCATTTACAAGGTCGTTCGCTTCGGTTGCAGGGAAAAGAGTAATATAAGCATGCTAGTTCGCGTCTTGTTTCGAGGGCCGGAAATATTGTACGGCACCCACTGCTGGGGAGCCCTGCTCACCAAGACCGCAAGCCGACCTTTGTTTCAGTTAAGTCGGAGTATATCGAGTCACCCAATCAGTCGCTTCCCGGTGCCTGAACGCTCCAAGCTCCCAGAAGATATTCAGGAGCAGATGGACGAAGTCGAAGAGAAGGTCAGTTGCTTTCCTTGTCACGGTTAAATACGTCATCTATCCTCCACTGAAGTTACGGCCTCTCTCTCTTAATTTCTCTCTCTCTCTCTCTCTCTCTCTCTCTCTCTCTCTGCTTGCCCCCCCCTCTCTCTCTCTCTCTCTCTCTCTCTCTCTCTCTCTCTCTCTCTCTCTCTGGTATTTGCTAGAGTTTTAATGCTAAACTTTACCCCTTGGCAACCTGTATGACTACTACTAATACTTTAATTATGTGAACCTGATTTAAATAGCTCCCTCGTTCCCCCCAAAACTAAAGTTTATGTTTTAAGTCAAGATGTGTAGCTAATTTGGAATTTCAAAAACAAGAATATGACACTTTCATGGACTGCAAAAAAATAAATGACAAATTAAAACAGGAAGGATTCATGACTTTGATGGAAAGGGAACATGCATCCAGGAAGTAGGCCTATGTCATTTTATAATGAAAAAAAAAACTGCAAAAAAAGGCAGCTACCCCCTAGAGATGCATGTTATGATATTCAAGGTCACACATTTTTCTAGGCTTTTGCTCTCAAGATCATCATTATATGTTTTCAGTCAGGTTTCCTCCCAAATGTGTTCAAGGCGCTGGCCTACAGACCAGATGAGTTCAGAGCATTCTTCAGTTACTATGATGCAGTCATGAACAGAGAAGGTAATTGGTGATATCTACCTCTGATTATAAATAATTGATGATTTTTTACTTAAAAAAAAAAGGTAGTTTAAAATGTTGTTTATATTAAACTATATGATTGCCACTCAATTTTGTTTTATTCATACATAAAATTCATTTTCATGTATTTTGAAAACAAAGGCTATTGCAAGTTACAGTGAATGTGTGTAATTGCTTTAAATTTTATATCCATTGCATTTAGAATAATTTCTGTTAGTTAAATACAAGAAATTCCTCTTATGGCAGTTACATACTTTAAATACCAATTACCATCACGCGTGTGCACACGCATACACACACACACACACACAGTATAGGCCTAGAGCTTTTTATTTATTTCTTATTTAATTTCATTGATGATATTTAAAAGAATTGTGAATTCTGATTCAACATCCCATCTATTTACCAGCATCCTGTATTTAAGTATTATTTCAGGTTCAAAGTTAAGTAAAGCAGACAAAGAGATGATCATAGTGGCTACCAGTGCTGCCAATAACTGTCTGTACTGTGTGGTAGCACATGGGGCACTGCACAGAATATACTCCAAGAATCCTATACAGTCAGATCAGGTATGGTGTTAGAATTGGTCCACCTCCCTCTCTCCCTCTCTCCCTCTTTCTCTATCTGAGGAGATTATTATTATTATTATTATTATTATTATTATTATTATTATTTGGTAATGATAGGCATAAGCAGTTGGAATGTTGATAAAATAGAAGATTGTTATAAGATGAAAGGACAAGAACGATATGATAAGTTATAGTGAAAGTGTATAAGTTGTTATGAAAGTTGGTGGTGAAGCACATACTCCTGTGTCTAAAAAAATTTCTGCTACATAAAAGGACATTAAAAGGATTACTCCCATACTTAAAAACTGTCCTAAAATTAGAACAAAATTTCTTTAAGCTTTTAAAGTTTGCAGTGTATAATGGAAGATAATTAAAGCTAAAATCAGGGGTTGTCCAAAATTTTGGCATCATGTCCTTTAAGGCTTTCTGTTATGAGTTTTTTTTTTCATTTAATTTATTTTTAATATTTTAATGTAAATGGTGGTTACACTTATTTATTTCACTGTTCTAGGTGGCTGTAAATTGGAGATGCTCGGACATTGATGACAGACAGAAGGCCATTTTGGAGTTTGCAATTGACGTTTGCCAAGCTCGACCAATCACAGAGCAGCACTTTGAGGAATTAGCCAATCATGGACTGTCTAAGGAAGATGCTTGGGATATTGGTTCAATTGCTGCTTTGTTTGCTTTGTCTAACAGAATGGCCCATGTGACTGCAATGAGACCCAATGATGAGTTTTACCTGATGGGAAGAGTAAAGAAAGAGAAGTCAAAGTAAAGTTATGCTACTCTTCAAGGCATTAAAATTTTAAGAAGTTTTTCAATAACTTTATTTTCATATTGTTATTATATCTTCGGCATGCATATCACTGCGCCAACCATATCAATACAGGAATAGGAAAACTGATGAACAGTCTGGATATCTGTTTAAAGTGAGGAGTATGTTTACAAGTATACAGTATTGTTGATTGCAATGGAATACAATGTATATTCTTTCTTTATAATGGGCACAAGCATGTACTGTCCTGTAAGGAGTAAGAAAAAAAATGATATTTGTAAGAATGCGTTTGTTAAATTTATATTAATATATTGTTTATGTAAAAAATGGTGATTGGTACTTGTGACAGAAACGCCACGTTGCACCTCATTCGTCATTGGGTCGTTATACAAGTATTTTTGACGAAAGAATTAATCATTTGTATCCTGTTCTTATGCTGAACCTACACGAATGCCATACCGCTCCCGGAACCTGTCGAAGAATCTCGGAGATATCCGAATGGGTTCCAGACGGTGAAGCGTTTGCCCAGGTCTGCCGAGTGAGGAGGCAATGCCCATGTGCCTGTATTGAGTGACTGCAGCTTGGGCGATGGCCTTGGCTTGTGCGTATGTCGGCGCTTCGTACACATGGTCCATCGTTGGCGATGACACCAGATCCTGGATCCGAGACAAAGAGACAGATCTGCCGATTGGGCTTGCATAGATTTCCACGCCTAGAATGTAATGGCGACATACTTTAATCTTGAGATAAAGCAGTCAATTTTTATTGCATGGAATAATGATTAGAGCAAGAACGATAATTTTACTCTTAAAAGTGGCGCTTACTCAAAGCCTTTTGAAAAAAATATGTTTTGATTTTTAGCTCTAAAGAACATTCGATTTATTTAAAAGGTTAAAATTATAATGAAAAACTGAAATTTTAAATCTAAAATTTTGTCATAAATAAAAACGTCTTCAATTTTTTTTCACAATTAAATTATTGTAAAAAAGTATGAGAGAGAGAGAGTATGAAATATAATTCATTAGATTGTAAAGAAAGTAATCATTTTGCACCTGAAGGAAGATGCACCAGACTCGCAGACCCAAGTTTTCACAGCGGGTGGTACAGTTTTCTCTATCGCAACTTATTTGACCGGTCCACGCATGTGTAACTACACAGCGAGGGTGTTACACCCCAGCCAACCAATCCAGAATCAAACCGGTAAAGGTGCCACATCTAGTCAATATGAGTCACTTATACACTGCTAACTAACTAGCTAGACTATTATAAGTTGTCAGTCTCTCATACTGGAGCGGTACAGAAAACTGGACCACTCAATGTGTCTTTACCAGTCAATGCGAAAAGAGTCGCTTTGTACTGAACCTACCAGCCTTTTTTGATATCCGTTGCCAGACGGACCGGATCGCCTCCGGAGTTAGCGTTACCGTCAGTAAGGATCCAAATCATTTTAGCGTTACCAGGCTTGCCTTTGTTATCCAGTTCCATTTTGGCCAGCTTCAGACCTTCTGCGGTGTTTGTAGAAACGCCTGGAAAAAAAGAGGAAAATAATAGTGCATAATAAGCTGAAAACTACCAATATACAAAAGAAGGTGGAAAAGAAAAAGGAAAAGCTCCCCCTCCCCCCCCCCAAAAAAAAAAGAGACAGAGAGAGAGAGAGAAAATGCCCACTTCCATTTAATCGGCACCCCTCCCTGTTTTATCTGTTTTTTAAGTAGCATTTGCATCTAGAAGAAAAGCAGAAATCAAAACATCCATATTGTTTGTGTTTCATACCCTTTTAACTTTTTATAAATTGACCTATTTATCGTTTATTTTGTTGATATTACATGCTGCACTCACCATTGTCGTAGGGGATACCACGAATAGCCTGTTTCACTTGCTCAGCATCTGTGTGGGTATCCAGCGAGAAATCCACCTTAGTTTTCGCTGCCTCTGAGAACCGAACAACTCCAATTCGAGGCTTTGAGGTGGAAGTTGCGCCAGCTTGACTGTAGATGAAGTTCACGATGGACTGTATAAAGAAAACGCAATTTCTTAAATATTGACTCTTTAAACGGTCACTTAGTTTAAATTTGTTATAACTCATTCTTTGCAAATAGCACTTCACTTTAATGCAACCAAGTTAAGAAAACGTTTTCGTTATTCGAAGTCAGTGTCACAAGAGCGAACGAATGGATTGATTCGAAAACGCCAGCTCCACATTTTGTCTGGAGCAAAAAGAGGTCTGGACTGACCACCACTCAAGTCATTGGCACCGTTGGCAGCTTTTATATTTTGTTTATATTTGTTGAATGAAATAGTGAGACATTGTCCACGTTCACTTTCGGCACAGGCAAGGGAGTATTCATACGGCGTGTGCAATACTTTAATCTTAACACAATATATGTGAAATATAATGATCACGTCAAATAAGTATTAAAAAAATACAAAAGAAAAAAAAGAAGAATTACTCACTTCCATGAATGACTTTCCGATAGTATAATTCGTTGAGCCTATACTGGCGCTGCTATCCAGAACAAACATCAAATCTGGCATCGTCGGCGCGGGCTTTGGGTCAGTTGCAGTCGAAACCACCCGAGACCCCAAGGTACCCCTCAACCGTACCCCTCCCCGTGACGAACTTCCCGTACTAAACAGTGGTGTTATTGATGCAAACTGAGTTTGCCGTATTGGGAATAACTTAGTCATGAACCCGCGCACCATGGCGGAGGCAACGTCGCTTGAAGACCGAAAAGTCGAGCCTGTAAGAATTAAATAAAAAAACAGCTTTTTGAAAGTGAAACTTTTTCTGTCTGTAAAATTGAAGCCATTTTCATTATTGGAAGGCGAATGAAAAATAGATCGGTGAATCCTTCTCTTAGCGTCTTCCAGTATTTATTTCATAATATTTCTTAAGCATGAGGCGGAATGATAGGATATCGACAACCAAGCTTGGAATAAACGCGTTACAAGTAATCCATAGTAATCTATACTTTTACTAAATTGCTCATTCACAAATGCAATAGTAAAATAGCAGAATTTTTTTTTCTATAAACGGTTCATCAAGTTCAAACACCTTTTGCAGATTTTTGCTTCATATATTTAAGTTAGCTTACCCTGTGTTGCTACAGCCACACAAAACAAAACCGTCAGAAACGGAGCCAGCTTCATCTTTCAGACAGTCCAATTTCCCCCAAGATGAAATTTCTTAGTTGTTTCTTGCTAATAACACTTTACCTTTGTACAGGCTAAATGTTAAAAACGGATGGACTCGACTGTAGCCTTAGTGAGGAAGCGAGCAGCATCCACGAGCAAGCATTCGCAGCGGTGTCTGAGCTACATGTACTAGTAAAGACACGAAGCTTCTTTTTATAGATTTCCAACCCGGATTCAGTCGCCATGAGAAGAAATACGAATTATAAACATCTGCCAAACATCATGCACGTTAATCTTATTCCAAACAAACCTTGACCCGAATTTTTAATTCGAAAAAGATGTTAATTAGTCACAGAGTTGAAAGTGCTGGTTACGTTCGCTGGCAGAATTTCTTGGTATTCTGGCAGCTTGCGTCATTTAAATTGCTCATTTAAACAAAACGGGAAACAACAAGGAAAAGTAAATTGGTTTTTTGAGCTGTTTTCCTGTTGTTTTCACTTCATTCCTTTACAAAGGATGTTTATGATAATATTTTAATTGCGATTTCTCGGCAATGCGTCACAGTTTATTAGGAATAGGAAATTCCATAGGGCGAGGGGGGAAGGGAGGGGGGCACGAGGTTCCTCTCTCCTGAGACAATGCAAGAAAGCCTTAGTACATGTACATGTATCATGGACCATTCTTACAGCAGATAAAAAGACTTAGGGCCGTCATTTCATTCCCCGGTAAAAAAAAATGCTTACATTACATATGTGAATCCTGCAAGGTGGGGGTATTATGTTTGTGTGTGTGAAAAAAAGAAATTGCAGAACAATGCTAATTTTTTCAGACTGACAGATTCTCTATTCTGTGTGCCCCCTCTTACTAGTAGTTATTCTGTATCAAATTAGACTACTTTTTATCACCCTTACAATTGAGACAAGCCTTTTACGTGATCTCTCTCTCTCTGTGTGTGTGTGATTGTGTGTGTGTGTGTGTGTGTGTGGAGAGAGAGAGAGAGAGAGAGAGCGGGAGGGAGCGGCCTCAGTCATTTGCAAGACATACGTGCATATGCCATGATATTGTTAGAAACAGGACATCCGTAAAGTGGAACAGAAGCATGTAATAATCTGCATTTTTCTCGTTCTTTGAGGCACCCGTGACCGGTAAGTTCATTTCTACGCTTGTGCTAGATGTCATTAAAACGAAAAATGAAAAACATTACCATTCACGTGAAAAAGTTGAGTTCCATTGTACAAAAGTTTAGTCTGCAGCTGCAGTTGTTTACGTAAGTAACATTTCTTAAAGCAAGAGGAATTAGATACATAGAACCTTTACTGAAGTGGAATGTTTTTTCTGTTATTTTCTTTGTTCTGTTATCATTTATTATTATTTATAATAATTTATAATGTATACATTTGCAAACAGCAACAGAGCGTGCTGTAAAAATGCGCTTGGTGCGATGGCGTAAAGCAAAGTTGTGGTAGTTGCAATGAGGCGAGCATTTCCACTAATGGACTAGAGTTGAAAATCAGACTTATCTAAGATTGCCTTACTGGTGGATCCATGATTTTTATTCTACTGGGAGAAGGGTAGGTTAGACAGTGAGACCAATAATCAAAATAGAATTTTGGTAGTCAACTTTGCGATGCTACAGTAGCAAACAAAGTCGGCTATATAAAAAGCAAACTTAGTGTAAAACGACCCCTTTTGGTACACTAGGTCATTTTTCAACTTCATCTTCTGAATTATAAGAGCAAAAGGAATATCTAATTGTTGGTCTTTATTTGCAAAAAATTTGGTATAGGAAAAAAGGGACACCGAACAACCAAAATCTCTAAAGCTTTGCATGTCCGTAAAAGTGATGATGCATTTTGGAGATATTAATAGGCTTATTTGGCAGAAACAAATCTAAATTCCGTAAAAAAGTAAGAAGTTAAGAGTTTATGTTTATATAATGCTATTTCATGTTTTCAGTGATATATTTTAGTAAGAAGAACTCCACACAATATCCACGATAAAATATAAATTATGAAATAGATTGTACAAAATTTATTACAGAAGTCACCTGTAAAGAACAAATATTGTCGGGTAATTACAATATGGATATCCTAAGTATTGTCAAAATTACAGATATACATGTATTTCGGGAAATAAAATAAGCCCCCCTCTCCGATAAACTAATCAACAAAACTGAATTATTATAGATAAGTGTTTCTTAAGCTAAGTAGGGCTATTTTAAACAACTGCAGTAACGACGAAAGCCCACCGTTCTTCATATATATGTATAAAATGCGCTTATTTCCTTAATTCTCTTTGTGAAGACTACGCTGATTATACTTTTAATTCAGATTTTAATAGATATGAGTATTCTTCAGTAAATTGAATCTAAAATAAACAATGACAGTTAAGGAACTCTAAGAAACGCGCCGTCCTGTAATTCTTCATCCGTAACGGCAAATGCAGAAAAATCAGAAACATGAGGTTACGACTTAAAAGTTCTTTCGTATATTTAGAGATGCTTTTTATCTTCCTTCTATTTCATTGCATGTCACAAACATAACTTGTGCATAATTCACATTCTTTTGAGTTGAAATGCTGGAATTTCAATAAACTTACGTGACAGTCACAGTTCATATGTGATCGGGACTTGAGTAGGACGTGAGTAACCGTCTCTGCCATTATCCCGCCTGCTAAAGTTTAAATAATGTACGTTTAAACCTTTTTTGCTTGTGCCATTCTGATAAGCCAAGAAAACACACTTAGAGCGGCGCAATTCATCCTCTTTAGCTTCAAACACACTTTTCGCGACAAAAGTCCAGAAATATTCATGAGCAATAACACCAGGCCTAATAAAAGACACACAAAATCTCGTACGCCGTTGTTTCCTTGTCTTAATTGACTCCTGCTGGTCAGCTATCTTTCAGTTGCAGAGCAGTGACCTAAAACATTAAGCGACTCTCACGTGTGGCCAATGACCAACTCTGCCTCTAAATCTGACCTATCTCAGCGGTCATCCATCATGGCGTTATCAGCGGACGCGGAGTGAATTTGAATTGTAAATTTAAGCCCCGTGCTCCGTGTGACCATGCTAAGGGACGCGATGAAATCTTGCATCTTCTGATAGACTACGTTTCCTCATGTAATATACATACAAGTGCTCTGAGATAGCAATAGGTGTAATCTTTGAGAAAATGGGGGAACGGGGCATATTTTGCTATAATAAAGATCGTCATCAGCTGGTGTGCTGCACATGGAGGACCTACAGGTAGTGACACAGTGCCATAGCAGAAAATATCCTATAAACTATTTAAAATCCGATTTAAAAATTTTAAGATGACATGAGTATATTTGTCTCATATTAGTTAGTCAGTGTGAAGCTATTAAAACGGTTTTGACTTTCACTTTATTTGAGATATTATTTTAAGTTAGATTTACCCAAATCATTTGTGATTGACGACAAATGACAGAATATGAGCAGAAATGATATTTTCAGTTTTCTTATTTACACAGGGGACACGTAGTGTTTTATTTATTTATTCATTTTTTATCTTTTAATTATTATTTTTATTTATAAAAAGTACGCAGTTTTCCAACAAAAAGGAAATGGCAAACTGTACCCAGACCTTCGTGAAAGAAATAATGTTCTATGCAAAGCAATCTCTGAGGGGCTTTGCCTTGAGATTTAAACCTCTCTCAAATATTATTTTATCGTTCAAAATCATAATCTGTCACAAAAGCATTAGGTTATAAATCTCAGTGAACTCATCAACTGTTCTAGGATGACACGTTCCTTCAGTACAATCATAATTCGTGTGCGTCTATATATATTTTTAATTCAAGTACTAAATATATGTATAAATCGTGTTGTGATTTTGGAAATAAATATCTCTTCTTTCTAAACAATATTTCGAGGAGCACTTACGTCATGTGTAAAGCCACCTGAACATGCATCTGCTCCAACCCATATTACGTTGAACTGATTCAAGCAATGTGCACTCATTGCGCAGACAGAAAATTTTTCTGAAATTGCCTACTCTCATCCCAGCCGTGCTTAAAAAACCTAGCTTGCGAATAGAACTTATTCTGATGATGTTACACAAACTTATATATTTGAGTGAGGCTCAACTCCTCTTTGCCTCCCTATACCGCATTTGCTTGTTCATAAATACGTACAGTGTATTCGATGTATCCCTCCCTAAATAAAAATGTCACTTTCTTGGAAAGTATAAGCAGGCCCCTCAAAAAGAATTACACGGTCTTGAAAGTGTCAAGTGAAATTAATCCGGACACAATTATTTGCACCGCCTCGTTCGTTCTTTTTTCTTTATCTCCGGTCCAATGTTTTCATATAGTAAGAGAGGATATCCCCAAGAAGAGATTCCCACAGACGTTTGTCCTATCAGACTCGGTGAACCAATGTGACAGTCTGGCGACTTGACAGAGGTGACATTATCGTCGTCACGATATTTAAACTGACAGAACACAATACTTTTGTAACAGAAAAAAGGGTCAGTCTCTAATTTGAAAAAAAAAATCTTTAAATGTTATTCACTATTTTGGTGGTCGTTGGTGGATACATACGCGATCGTGCAAATGTTAAATGTGTGTTAATGTAAAATCAAGATATGCCCGCTTTCATGTGCAACAATATACAGTTTATGTATAACGGTAACGTAAATTAATTACGGCTGATAAAATTATTTACTGAATTATTAATACAACAAGACAATGCGTTTAATGGGTAACGGTAGATAAATATTTCGTTTGTAACTTATCACCGTAACCTGCAATATATATTACACATGATAAAATCACTTTCTGAATTATTAATGTGAGTTCTCCTGCAGGGCTCTAATTATACCTCGGAGTCACCAGATTAACTAAAAATTGCATAAAATTGCTAATTTTTGGATGAAATCTTAAATATTGCATATTTTGCGTGCATGTACTGATATGGTGCATAATTGAAGATGATGTGTTTGTACGCGTAGTATGCAATTTCATATGATGATATATACCAAATTAAATAAGATAACGGTATTTAGAAGACCCATTAAATTAACAAATCACACAAACTCAGTTTAATGTGCGTGCAGCTGGGACACGTGCATGCGATTATATTGCATTATTGAACATTAACAAGGTTACCCTGCCCCCCCACAAATACATTAACATCACACACACAGGTACACGCACACGCACTAGCACACGCACACACACAATATAGGCCAAATGCGATTTTACCAACTTCTAAATAATTATGCAACTAACCATATTTAATATGTGTTTGTCATTAATAGAATGATATAGATAATAACAAGTGTGTTAAAATCATAGCAACCCAAAGGTTTAAGTTATACAAATAGACAAGTGAGGATAACACATATTATTAAATCTTTTAAGCACAGGTTTCAAAAACCCGTGTGAAGAAAACGGAAGAAAAGTGTTGCAAAAACGAACTGTTTAAAACTTTGGCTCTATTTGAAAATGCTTTTTCTCAAAGTTCTTTTGGATTTGGCGATTAAAAGACTTTAAAAGTAAAACAATAGTAATATAAAAATTACTGTCATTATTGTCATTAGTCATATTATTTCACGCCTTATTACATATTTTGCTTTGGCTGGGGGCATTTGAAGTAGGTGATATTGTTATTACAATTAACATGTCGCATAAAATATCAACCATTACACATTGCATATTTAAATGCGAAACATATCCTTTCTGTCTACATTTTGACAAAAAAAGTTGAGAAACTAATTGCTATCAATAAAAAAAAACGGATTTTTTTAGATAAAATGAAACACTTCACAACTTTACTATACATTCTCTGCTGGCTTAATCTAAGTACATTTTACGTCCCGTCTCGCATCTATAAAACACTGATATTAAAAAACTCATTGTAAGAAGTTGTTTATTATGCGGTTAGGGAAACAAGGAAAGAATTTTGATCCCGTCCCGCTGCGGTCAAAAGTGTTAGTCAAATTAGTACACTTGGCCCTTAGATGACCCGAGAAATGATCGGTCTTGTTGATATTTGTCTATGTTATAGCAGCTTTGTAAGATTAATACTGAGTATATCAAAAGTAAATGCAAGTTCGACCTCAGAGGTGTCAACTTAACGGGTTTAATAAATAACAACTAAGGTGGTTATCTGTTTTGAGAGAGAGTTGGGAAATAAGCATGGAAAAAGTATGTATGGAAGCGTGGTTCCTATAAAGAAAAAATACTGACACGCTATCTTTATACATCTTGATGAAAGTCTTGGATTGGAAAACTACTTTTGATTATTTCAGTTGAGGTTCTATGTTCCCAAAGATATTACATTTTCGATTTATATGTGAAGTTGAACCAAGCAATTCATTGCCCCTCCTTTAAGTGTACTACATAACCCCCCCCCCTTTACTATGATTTTTATTTAGCGATAGTGTTTTAAGCACTTTATCAACGAATTTATTAAAAAAACGTCGAAAAACAACGTTAAATCTGGAGTTTTACGAATGTGTTGGGCATTCCATTTCAACAGTAAACTGTCATTTGATGCAATAAAAAACGAATAAAAACTTTCCTGTTGTACTTTTTATAGGGAGACAGACAAAAATTCAATAATACAAATCTTCACTTTTATATTTTAAAAACTCAATTTCCTATATCAGAGCAGTCAGAGAAAGACAAAAAATCTCAATTTGTTGCGCTTAATAGTTTATCATTATTCAACATAATAATCAAATCTAATTAAAACCAGTCTTATTGCACGTTGTCGTGTCCATTGCTGTTAAAGAGGAACGAGGAAGAGGGAAACATGATCTGGAGAGTTAACATTGTGAATTATCATAATAGAAACCAACCAAAGCACCTCCTCATTAGACATGTATTAGGGGTACAAGCGTGGAATAATCACTTAGGGGTAGGTGGCGATTATCGCTACTTAATCCAAGTCCATTAACATTCTCTTAATTAGGCAATCAGGTGTCCTTCCTTAAACTGAGATCACGCAAGAAAGGGAAAAAAGTCCTTTACCTCACCACAGGCCGACCTTTGTAATTCGCACCCCTGTTTAATCTGCGGTGGTCGGTGATTAGATTTCATTATACGAGATATCGATATGACTGAAAAGCGCTGAATAACTAATGAGGACATGTATAACACTTGCATATCATTAAGACTTTGGTCATTGAAATGATTTTCCTTGAGGTTACCTTGCGCGCACTTGCCGTGACTGGGACATGGCTTATCACGAACTAATTAAAGGGCAACGTCTCCATATTCTAATCAGGGACCAAACGACTTTCCATATTTGGAATCCAAAGTTTAATAGTCTTGCTGGACGATTTTTCAAGCAGATAACTACTTTCCCGATTACCTTCCCTCTCATGAATTTCACATACGATTGCGTGTTTTTCCCGTCCTGGTGAGAAGAGAAAACTGACCAATAGCTGGCCGGGGAGAGCTTCCTGATCATCCGGCCGGCCACTATAATACCCGGCTCTCTGGCAGCATTCGACACAAACTTTCGCAGCACAGTCTCAAGGACAAGCAAGCAGCAGCACCAGTCAACACATCAACGGACTTCAGTCGCACTAAGAAGGTAATTTTTATTTGGAGAGAGTGGTGTCTTTTGGTGACTATGGCGCCCCAGGGCTACTCCTGAGTTAGCAGGGAGCTACCTAGTGACCAGCCACATTTAAGGGTATAAGAGCCGGAAAAAGGGCTCTGGATAAGAATTCATGACGATTCATTTTTACACTGCATACTTGGATAAGTGTACATTTAAGGTTGCGAAATTGCCAAGAAGGAATTATGCATTCAAAAAATTCTATGATAGAAATTATGTCTTGGTCTTAAATAAGACAAGTTATAGACACAGGTGAAAAACAAAATTAGAAATCTTTTTTCACGCACAGGCGGCATAGAAAACTTAACGTAATTAAAACAAGATGTTATCTTTACCTCAGATATGTTCTTTTGTTACAGATGCAATTGACACTCTCTACTCTCGTCCTTATCGGGCTTGCTGCTCTTGTAAGAGGTGCCGAAATAGGTAAGTGACACTAAGACCGACGGAGTGAAAGAAATAATTGAAAATGTGCTAAGTATAAACATCAATATCAACAAAAGTAAATTTCCTTGAATTTTTCAAAGGTGAAGCGAACTTAATATATCAATAATCATTACTGCACGCTTGACATTTTCAAAAATTATTTGCACAAATTAAGTAAATAAGTTAATTAGGGCAATGCGTATCAAAACATCATTCCTAAGGGAGAGAATAAGAACACATAAGATGTGTGCAGGAATTTATTTGTTATACCTTGTCTTGCAGATCTGCTCGGCGTATGTGATCCCCACAAGGATATCTGTGTTGCCAAGTACTCCAGCTGCGAGCCATTCCTCGGAAATGTCAACGGTGAGAAATACGCCATGGTGGAAGCTAAAGCCGGTCTCCTTGAGGTGAACCCTAACTCCAGAAGATGTACTTGTCTCCCTGGCTTCAGCGCTGTCAACATCGGAAAAGCTGTCGGTGACAGCGTCCGTCTGGAATGTGTCCCAGGTAAAATTGAACATTTCTAAATTTAATGATTCTTCTTTTTACATAATATAAAAGAGTAATAATGTGTTTTCCCATTTCTCTAGTTTCAACAATTAAATATTTGGCTGAATACTGACCTGAATTTCATCGTTAAAATAATGTAAAGTCGAATTTACATGTATAATATAACGAAACATGCCCAAATTAATACCTTCTTTTTTTTCAATTTCCAGTTGAGGGTGCCTCCTGCTACACCGATGGAGACTGTAACATCCGTAACTTGGATTGCCTCCCACTTCTTTCCCTGCTCCCAGGCATCTTCGGCGCCACTGGCCAACTGAACTCCGACAGTTTGTTCGCCCCAGGATTCTTGACTCCCGCTACTCAGGCGATCTACTCTTTCATCGCTGGCTTCTTGCAGCTTTCAACTCAGTTCCTGTGTGGTTTCAATCGCGTCAACACCATCGAATACAAGTGCGACTATCCTTCCCCATCCAAGTCTGACACATACATGTACGGTGGCGGTGCTGCTTCCGGACACGGCACAGGATTCGCTGGAGTCTGCAAGAGAGTCAACAGAAACGGAGGATACCAAGCTGGTAAGATATACATGTATTCAGTACCTTATCATACCAAACTGTATATTATATTATATTATATTATATTATATTATATTATATTATATTTCACAGACTCAAGGTACCTGACATTTGTTTTTTTATCCAAGGGACGATAATGATAATGATCATAATGTTAACAATCCTGCCTGTAAGGCACATATTACTTGTTCATAATTTATACCTGTATTGTAGTTTCTCTCTAACCTATGATATAAGTGTTAATCTCCTGATTGTTTTCTCTTTCAGCATCATCTCTGACAAAGGGTTCCCAGACACACCAACAACCAGCTGCACCAAGCTTTGGACACGGCGGACACAGCTTTGGACACGGCGGTAAGTTTTTTTTTTAACCAATATCTCTTCGCACGGATAACCTCATTACCTCCCTTAATCATTTTCGTTTTGCCGGACCAAATTTGAAATCATTTAATGATTTTGTCGATAAATGAATGAAAAGATTTAATATATATTTTAAAAAATGTCCCCCTGCCCCTTCCAAACCAGTGTAGGCCTGGAACATAATTTGGGTCGATATCGTATACATATTTAGGGTTCAAAGAGAAAAGTATGTGATGAACGAACTGGCTGGGTGTAGTTGTCTTTGCGTGGTTTTAATATCGAGTATGACGGGCGGGACTCTAATTGTATTTTCAACATTGCATGACTTTACGTTTAATTAATTATAAGAGGTCCTGTTTTACTTTCACCTACTTACGTGTGCAATTATTTTATTATTTCAGCTTTCTCCCCATACGGCGGTGCTTCATCCATGTACGGTGCCCATCCATTCGGTGGTATGTCCAACACTTTTGGAGCTGGCTACGGCGGCAACACTCATGGCAGATATGGCGGCAACTCACACAATACCTACGGCGGTAAAACATACGGTGCTGCTCAGTCCGGCCATGGTATGCCACGCAACTACGGCGGCTACGGGAGGAAGTAAGAAGACAATCTTTGCTGTTCTCGCCGTCCTGATGAGATATGTGACGAGGATAACTGGTGCTCATTGTTTTCCATTGCCGAAGTCATCCCATTGAGCTGTTATGTAACTAAGCTTTAAATCGAGTGACTTTAAACTTTATCCTTATACCAACAGTATTTTTTCTTCTTTGCTTTTGATCTTTTTTTTCTCATTTTTTCCACGGCTAATGTGTAACATGCCGCCTTTCTTACTTAACGATCTCAGGAATTTTGTTCAAATGGCATAGTTTTCTTTTCATGGTACATATATATTTAATGACGGGCCTCTTTTCGAAGTTGTCCTGAGATTTTTTAAAATTGTTGATCTTCGAGTTATACTGATCCCAGATATACCATGAACTTAAGATTAGGCTATTTTGCGAAATGAATTTATGAAACTCGTGCAAGATAGAACCACAGAGCGGGAGTCGGTGCTGACGTAAACATCTTGCGGACGATCATATAAACTCTTCATAACTTGGACCATAAGCATTATGGGATGCATTTAGTGCTGAACTGCTATTTGCTGCATTCAAACAACACGTGGACCAAGGTAATAGAAAGACTGAATACTGGAAATGACGCTGTGTTGGGTATTTGTGTGTGCTGTGCTGTAAATACATTGTCTTGTATTTCTTTTTGTTGACTTGTAACTTATTGCTCTTATTCATATGTAATAAAGCATTCTATCAAAAATCGAAGATACCCGGCTTTGTAATTATTACTATAGACTCGATAATGATAAGACCGTCATATCTAATTGGCAGCGATCAAAAGTTGGCTTTGTTCTAGTATTAACCTTGTTTATATAACATTGATAACAATTATCCACAGCAAACATGGGGTGAAATCACATTACCAAGTAGATGCCAGCCTAAATAAGTCATATATTACAAATACAGTTTTAATTTCTTGATTTAAATACAATTTTGACTCTCTTCCATTTGACCTTAGATGACTAATTTATGAAATTGCCATTGTAGTGAAAGGCCTATTAATATTTACTAAGACCGCCTCCCCTCTTTGAACTAATAACGCTTATTTGATTTACTCTTTACCAAATTTCAAATGATATATGAATTGGATAATCCCACAGAATTTCTGAGTTCAACTTTTCTGTTGATCTTCATATTTGCACTTTGTCAGCAAAACCTGACAAGAAGACTTAATATCGCTGCCCCATTTAGTGACATTGTGAAAAGTAAAAAAAAAATTATAATAATATCTAAGTTGATATGATTCACCACAGCCATTGCTGTAACTTCTTCCTATTAAACTGAATACCCACGACATGACCCCCGAATTGCAAAAAAAGACTCTCCAATTCATGCTATCATGTGCAAATGTCCTTTAAAAGATATGAATAAACGCTCACAAAGATTACATCACTTAATTGTGTCTATTAGGGGCCTTAAATGTACAGGCGTAAACTTTCTTAAATAGGACAAACGCGTACCCAGGATCGACAGCCTTGTCAAAGGCATTGCATTTCAGTCCTCTTTGTATTTTCAGTGAGCCAAAATTTGAACCCAGACTACTGGTTGTAAATTTGGCTTTAAAAGCGTTGAAACCCAAGTTAAAGGTGTAAATCCAAGTTAACCCATGTTTTTAAACGAAAAGTTTCGAGAAAACCAGAGTTTGATCAAAGTAAAAGAGTAAACATTAGATTTAATGAGGACATCATCCACGTCTGATCTTAAATTTAGGGAAACTTTGGATAAGGTCATGGTGAAAGTACACTTCAAATCCCCCCATGAACCAAAACTGTTTTTTCTGCTTTTTATCTTACATGCTGTAAAATCTAAAGACTCTGATAAAAAATTCAGCTAGTACGTAATGCAAAAAAGTAGGTGTTTTTATATCCCACTGTCGTCATTTACAGTGTACCAATTAATCACCTGAAGTTAGTTCTAGATATGGAATTTGAAAAAAAAACAGTTACATTTGATTAAAATATCAACGAAAATAATATGCCTTTGAGAACGATAGTGTGTACGACCTGATTATAATTGAATTATGATAATACACCAGAAAAGGTCGTAAAAATTAAGATTGGGTGATAGTATAAAAAATGCACCGTTATCAAGAAGTGGGAACCATGTTGACGATGGCTCTATAGTAGCAGATAAACATAATCGCTCTGACTTCAACGGTAACAATCACGTACACCATTTAATGTTGTCCTTAATGGTTTGTTTCAGCAGCGCAAACAAGATAACCACGTGTTACAACAAGGTGAAAAAAACATAAATCCCCATGCACAGTATTATTAGTATTAGTCATAATATAGTTTTGTTTTAAAACTGACTACACTTGGATGATATTCGGCCAGTGATTGGCCTAATGATTGATATTAAATTGCTTCCGCCCAACTGCCGGGTATAAAAGACGATATTTCTTTGCTTATTTTCGTGCGGAGAAGGCGCTGTCAGTTGTTAAAGAACTTCCATCCGCCGTTTTGCAGCGGCCACTGGAGCCGGCACCGACAGTGAAACACAGGATTTTGATTCATAATTTTAAAGGTATACAGTTCTGTGCTATTTATTATTCTCATTTCTTAATTCTCTCTCTCTCTCTCTCTCTCTCTCTCTCTCTCTCTCTGTGTGTGTGTGTGTGTGTGAATATGATACGATAACCTTTGGATGTTTGGATTTCATCAAATAATGAAGGTGACATAGAATGAGGAAAAAATCACGTTCAACTATGTCTTATTTAATTCCAATCGTGGATTACATCATATTTTTTCTTTTAATTCTTCTGCTGTTTCTTCTTCTGATTATTTCGTTATTGCTGTTATTAAAATTTACTTCCTTTACATTTTTTAAAGTACAATTTTATTCCTTTTTATATTTTATAGAATTTTAGATGAGGTTCCTACTCCAACTCGCCGTTTTAGGTCTAGTGAGGACTGTAAGAAGTGCCGAAGTCGGTAAGATCATTTATACACACGACGGCAATAACGATCTACTTTAACTATATTTCATCACAAACACTGATATCGATAGAATAGATGCAGCGAAATCAAAACAAAAATTTTCAAAGGAAAGGCAAACCAACTTCTCAAAAGTGCAATAACTGAGAGCAAAATGCAAGTATTTGCACCACTTTCTATTATGATTTAACATCAGGTCTATATATGTCAGTGGCATACAAAAAGAGGAACTTTCCTGGAATGTATTACGAGACAAATTCAAATTTCATTAAAATTACACATCTTTTGAACGAACATGTATGCAGTCGCCACAGTAATAATTGTATTTCCAAACACATGCTCCAGTTGCGAGTTTATGTGTCACTTCGTGTCTTGCAGATCTGCTCGGCGTATGCGATCCCCACAAAGATATATGTCTTGCCAAGTACTCCAGCTGTGAGCCATTCCTTGGAAATGTCAACGGTGAGAAATACGCCATGGTGGAAGCTAAAGCCGGTCTTCTTGAGGTGAACCCCAACTCCAGAAGATGTACTTGTCTCCCTGGCTTCAGCGCTGTCAACACCGGAAGTTCTGTCGGGGACAGTGTCCGTTTGAATTGTGTGCCAGGTAAATTATATATATATATATATATATATATATTTAAAAGATCTTGAAAAATCTTAAATATCTACATTCTTGCTTTAGGATCCATGGTTAGATGGTGTCACTGAACCACGTGATGACCACGTCACATGCCACGGGGTTCCTCAGTGTTGTTGATTTGGTAGAATGCCAACCTTATTCTCCCCCCTTTTTTTCAACTTCCAGTTGAGGGTGCTTCCTGCTATACCGACGGAGACTGTAACATCCGTAACTTGGATTGCCTCCCACTTCTTTCCCTGCTCCCTGGCATCTTTGGGGCCGTGGGCCAACTGAACTCCGACAGTTTGTTCGCCCCAGGATTCTTGACTCCTGGCACTCAGGCGATCTACGCTTTCATCGCTGGCTTCTTGCAGCTTTCAACTCAGTTCCTGTGTGGCTTCAATCGCGTCAACACCATTGAGTACAAATGTACGTACGCTAGCCCGTCGAAGCAAGACACTGCCTTCTATGGTGGAATGCACGGTAATGGTCAGGGAGCAAGCTTGAAAGGCGGTGGGTACGGTGGCACTTGCAAGAGAGTTAACAGAAACGAAGGATATCCATCGGGTAAGTAAAATTTTAAACTAGAGAAAAAACAGCATGTGTATCACGGGTCTCAAGCATAATGTTTATAATCATGATTGATAAATATTGATTTAATATTATATTTAAAAAACATAAATGAACCGACTGACAAACAATATAAAAAGCCAGTTTGAGATTTTAAAACTTTATATGCGGTTTTTGTTCACTTTTGACTTCCTTTATCGTTGTGACATATTATTAAATTATAAACAATTGCTGAGTTTGACTATGGGCTTTTTTGGTGGACCTCGGAAAAGTGAAACCATTCGAGGCGCAGATTATATCATTTTGTCTCACATTGCGTTATTATAAAATATTCGTTTCCATTTTTTTTCAGCATCTAGTATCTCGACTAAAGGAAAGACAAGCAACAATATGCCATGTGAGTACTCCTAACTTCTGTTGTTCGTATAATGAGATTTTCTTGTTTTATTTATGACGATGCACCTTAGTGGGATACTTAGTGGGATACATATAGAAATTACTCTACAACTGTATGGAAGCATCTGGAAGTTTGTACAACTTAACATTTTCGGCCGAATTCTAGAATGTTCTTGAAAGTTCTTTTGACTATGTCCATAATTCACATGCACATTTATCTTTTACGACTTTCCCAATGTTTTATTTATTTATTTATTTATTTATTTATTTATTGCAATTATTAACTTGTTCAATGATGTTTGTAATACAAACTAACATAACTGAGGATGAAATATAACAAGCTTAGCCGCACACCTAATCATTTAATCACCGCAATTTAATAAAAAAATTTCAGACCATGGCCAGTACGGAGGACAGGTTTTTACCGGATTCGGAGGCCAATCGTTTATGGGGTACCAACCCACCTTCGGTGCCCAACAGCCTTACGGGGCCCAAGCAAATTACGGAATGTACTCACCAACGTACAAAACATACGGCTACGGTAAAAAGAGATAAGATACCACGGCCACATTTGGGTCAGGATTAATACGATGACGACATTTTCAGGATCCGATTTAAGGGCACGCTTTTCTGCTAATATGATTTTGCTGTACCACATGTCATTCCTGTGTTTTCTATTTTAATTTAATGGCAAACATGGTTATGACGTTTCTAAATCTTAAATTGCTAAAAAGGTTATTTTGATACAGTTATGACGGATGTTTGCAAACATCTCGATGGAAGCCTGTAAAAAATATCCTTTTTAGATCGGTTGACGCCAATGATGCAGATTTTTCTAGCAGGCTACTTGATTTTACCCTAAAAGTCACAAGAAAAATTCATCACACGTTAAGAGGGAAAATAATGACTGGATCAACAATATGTTTGTGACCAACAGACATGCCATCTTACTTGAACGTAAGGACTAATGAAGGTTTCAAAAACCGGATGCTTTCCACCGAAAATTTAATGGGAGTCGGTGCTTACCGTGGACGACGACTTGGAAACAACCACAAGTTGCTAGGCATACGATATAAATGTAATCGTATGTCGGCACTAAGAACATCTGTGAGTGTCGTAATTTATGCTGCGAAGACTATCAACAGAATATGTAGCATATTTATATAACACACGTTAACAACA